CATCTGCTCCCAGCCCCATTTCTTTTTATTGTTTTACCTATTTTACCTGATATGACTTTATACTTGTGTGTGTGTGTGTGTGTGTGTGTGTGTGTGTGTGTGGGTGTGTGTATTGTATATATAATTATAAATGTGGTTTTGGGGGGTCTGTGGGGAGGTGGGTTTAGGGCTGGGCATGTTGGATTGTTTTTAACTAAACTGTAAAGCACTTTGTGTTACACTTTTTGTATGAAAAGCGCTTTATAAATAAAATTTGATTGATTGATTGAATTCCACAACAGGAGATATATGATGTTACCTAAATAAGTTTTGAGGAAAAATAACCCACATATCGACATCGGTATCGGCTGATATCGGAATCGAAAATTCAGAGTTGGACAATATTGGATATCGGCAAAAGGCCAATATCGGACATCCCTAATTGTTGCATTTCTTGTGTTGATCTGTTTCATTCTCTGATCTGTTTAGGCGACATTCAACGGTTTTGTAAAGTCCTCCGAGAAAACTACTGTTGAGATTTAGGGCTTTACAAGAATGCCTTGAATTTAATTGAAGAGTAATAATAACAGAAAATAAGTAGAGCAGATTGGGGATGGACAGAGACTGGCCTGAGACTGGGTCCAAATGGACTGGGGTGTCATTTGTAAAGCTAACGTATACAGTATAAACAAATAAACAAAAAAGTGTGTCCTGTTCTATACGCAAAGTCTGTGATCATGAATTTATTTTTACCTGTGTATTTTTGTTCGCTCTTATTCTCTGTTTGAGTTTTACTTCCTGTCTGTCCTGTTGATTGTTTGCTCCGCCCTGACACGTTACATCTGTGTGAATATAGAATACTATGATATAATTTATCTATGATAGACCCTGTGCTGCTGTCTTCTTGTTGTCGGCCCATTGCTTTACCCCATGTCTTGTCCCTGGTTTCAGGTTTTACTTTTGGATTTATTTTCCTTGTGGTTTTTATTCAATTATAATATGTTGTATATTTTGCGTGTTGATTATGGGTCCTTCCTTGATGTATCTTGTGACTCACACATACACATGCATGCACACACGCACACAGATACACACACACACTCGCACACACACACGCACAAAGCCTATCGTGACACGTGCACTCCCACTCACACCTGCCCCTCATATTTCTATGGTTTCTTCACACTTTACAGGTGATATTCAACATCAGTCACTTTAATGAAGGATATATTTTCACATGTTTAAATTACAAGACGAGTCAAAGTCACTGTTCACTTTCTTCCTAAAGTGATGCATCAATGAAAGTAACTTATTACCACCTCATGTTTAGTGAGTAAGTAAGGAAGTTATCTATATGTCATACAGCAGCTTTCACAGACAGAGTCACAAGCTTGAGGCTTGTACCCAGGAGGCACCTACCAAGCCTACTGTACTTACTCTTAGTGGTGGGAAACCAGAGAACCTGGAGGAAACCTTCGCAGCCACAGGGAGAACATGCAAACTCCACAAAGAAAGGCCACACCTGTAGGTGGAAACCAACCCAGGACTTCCTTGCTGTGCTCATACAGGGCCTGTAGAGATTTGCTCTGCCTCTCTGGACATGATAATACTGGACATAATACTATCATTGCATGTGCAATTGCATGTGGTCCTCGTTCTACAGCCTGAGTCCTGGATCTACAGCGCATTCGTCCGGTGGGGTGGATCGTTCCCTCAATGTGGGCTGACCCAATGAGGGTCCAGGAACACTCAACCTTAAACAACATCTATGGACATCTATGGACATTTATGGACATAGGTTATCTGCCCCTTATGGACCAATGGTTTTATGTGTTTTTATTGATGCATTTCTTGTGACTGATTCTCTGATCTGTGTTGGCGAATTTGATGGTTTTGTAAAGTACTCCGAGATACAGTAACTGCAGTTGTGATTGAGGGCTATACAAAAATTGAATTGAAGTGAATGTTGTGATATATATTGTTTTAAGATGATACAGCCCTGCAATTCAGCTTTAAGAGCAGAGGACAGAGATGAGTAATTTTGAAGGCTGAAGATCCCTTTATACCACAACATAACAAATGTAGAAATTCCTTCAAAATATGAACTGCAACTAATAAATATTCCAAAGAAACTCAATTCAAAACAGAGCCGAGGTGAAGGTCTCTGGTGATTGTCCGCACGCCTTGCTTTCTGATTTCAATGGCCTCTCGTATTGATCTTTATTATTTATATTCTCTGATAAAGGCGAAGGTCTACCGTCGAAACATGTCAGTTAATTAAGCAGTATAGAATATTTTTTTAAATCCCTCATTTCACAGATTTAAACAATTTATTGATTTTTTTTTTTTATGATAATAACAATAATGAATTACAGTCCTATGATAAACTGTACAAGGACACACATGACACACAGGCCGCTGCTACAGCTGAAAGAACAGAGATGAGAGGCAGGCTTCCCCCTCCACCCAGCACCTTGTGGCAGATGGACGCGCAGTGTGTGTGTTCCACCTTTCCTCACTTCGACTGAGTAAGGTCGCATTCACTATCACCCCCTGGTTATTTTCTTCTCAAATCCAATTCCCACAATATCCTTCTGTCTGCAAAGATCTCAAGCTACATTCATGCATAGTTGATCAACAACATGTTCATATTTAGTCCTCCATCAGAGCGACAGCCTGAGTCACTGACCCAAACTTTTAATTGATTAGGGGTTAGTGGGAGTCACGGCGAGACAACAACAGTATGGCGGCCCGTTTGGACTCCTGATTAAATGTGACAGATTGGATGAGGCGCCTGTCTGAGCCTGGACCCACAGTCAGAAACATCCTCTACAGGCAATTAGCAAGAGGCCATCAGCAAGATCTACATTTGCAATTCATCAGTGTTTAGCACCCACATAAATAACTAATATGTTCTGGAGTCTAATGACTAAGCCCCCCTTGAGGGAGAGTGGAGGGGGCACAGAGGCAGACGGCTGAGGAAGTGACAGCTCTAATCGATAGGGGATTCGGTCAAATCGAGAGGATCATTGATGGGGGAATTGGGACTCCAAAAAGGTAAACAGACACTAAGCAGGACTCTGATAACTGCACAAAGCCTGTTTTATATTTCAACACTGCACCGTCATATTCCCTGAGTACAGAATTTACATGAGTTGCTGCCTACTCACAGAGCCGAATACTTGCAGAACAAAAGCCAACTCTATTGGAGAGCGGCTCCATTTGCGTGTGTGTGTAAAGAAAAGGCAGGGAGGGACAGATGCACATGCTGTGTGCCAAAGCTGTGTTTGCAGCCACTTCTTTCAGGTCAGCCTTGAAAGAGAAGAAGCTCTTAAAAATATTAAAGCATGAGGACAAAGAAAACATGGAGGGTGCTTCATAATCCAGAGTTGAAATCACCATAGGGCCCGACTCCCAGCTTAGATCTGCCGCAATACTACACTCCCACGCACCTCACTTCATAATGGGCCAATCATTACTACAATCAGAGCGCCGTCAAAATCACATGAAAAATACAGACCCTTCTCTCACTGTATTCACACACTCCTCTTGTGGGATTTGGAAATATTTCAGCCACTAACACTGTGGTGACTACAACCTCGCTGCTCCTGTCATTGTATCATTGTCTCAATATGTAATGTGTCATTCATTCAATGTCAACTCATTTCTTTTCCCAGTTACTTTCTGTACATCACACCCAAGATTTCATCAAGTTTTTAAATACAATATGTATCGCTGTTTTACAATTCTATAGTATCTCTGCAGTGTAGAAAATCATTCTGACTGTATGGATGGAGTTAGAGAGCAGAAGCAACTCCCTAAACAGCCTGGAGTTCACAGATAACTTCTGTCGTACCATATTCTATAGGAATTAAAACAAAATATACATACTATATACATGAATAACGGAAATTGGATTCATTACATAATATTTGTAATGCGTGGCATACATGTGTTAAATAGACGCTTTTACAAACATAGTAATTTGACAGCTACAGTATATTGATTATTGCTATAATTGCCACTAACCACTTCTCTTTTCCCCTTTCATTTGGTTAGAGGAGCTCTACAAGGAACAAGGATTTCATTAAATTTCAATTTCATTTCTGCTGACGACTTTTCCACAGAGATAACCCTGTGATTCCCTCTGCATCATACCATCATGCTGTTTTATTGTTGCTCGGTGGTTGTGGATATTTCTACCAAGTTTATACTAAAACGTTTAATGCACGTGTCAGCAGGTTGTTTCATATGTCGAATGCTTCTTTTTCATGTCTGATACCGATCTTGATACTTTGACTTTTAATATCTGCTGATAAAAAATGCTGCTGAAGAAAATGAAAACTGAAATGTTCCCTCCCTCAAAACATGAAGTTACAAGAAGAGTCCAATAGGTTGCGTTCATTTTCTAGAATCAATTTTCAGTCGGAGGGCAGGTGCCAACTCAAGGGGAAAGAAGCATTTTTTTAACAAATAGTATCTATGGTCAACATCATGCATACGCTTTTTTTGGGATAATTGTCACCACATCTAAACACCTTCATGAGAAAATAATTAGATTGATATGCACCGACAAAGATGTGGAACTGTGTGATGAGGATTGGCCCAGGAGTTACAGAGAAGATAGCTCTAAACTAAAACTAGAAGTCTGACTTTTAACACTTCCCATAGTTACTGTGAGAAGTTTTTTCAGCTGCCTTCCACCACAATGTTTAACTATAGGGTCTTTGGTGTGTTGTGATGTCACATGCCAAAGCAAATTTCTATTTTGTGACTTCCTGTTAATTACAATGGCAATAAAAGGGGTTCTAATGAAGGCAACTTAGTGTATTATCCATCCTGCAATTACATTCTCCAGCAGTACCAATATCGGATACCAGTATGAATAGAATTGCTTGGTGTGCTCTGTAGTGGACACAGCACAACACTGATATTCTGAGTCCAGCCAGAGCCCCATCCCATCATGTATGTGTGTGGTTGCTGTCACATAGAGCAGTGTGTAAGTGTGAACTGCAAAAGACTTACTTCCTCCGGACGGTGGCACTGGAGTTGGTGTCTGTGCTGTCAGTCCGCTCCAGCCGCTCGTTGGGGTTGGAGCCACAGGACAGTCCGCGGGTCAGCCTACTCAGGGTCCTCCGCTCCCTGGGTGTCACTGGCGGAGGTGCGACGGGTCCGGCTGGGGCCTGAGAGCTGGAGGTGTTTGCCAAGGTGTGGATGGAGAGTGGCAGCGGTTGACTGTTGTGGTTGTGCTCTGGGAGGTCCGGAGCTGCTGATCTGGGGCTCCTCTCCTGCCTCAAGTCTTGGTTCTCCTGGCTGACGCGGTCCAGCTGCCCCTCCAGCTCTTCTATGCGCCTGCGTTGCGTCTCCAGGAGCTTGGCCTGGCTCTCAATTATGTTGTTGAGTTCCAGGAGGTATTCCACTGCTCGGTTGGGGTTCTCAGGGCTGCTCTCCATGATGGCAGCCCGTATCCCTCTGGGGCCAGGCGCCGCCACGGTGAAGACCCCGCGGGGCTTGGATCCACCCCCCCCCACCAGCCCTTATGAGTGGGGGGAGGGAGGGACCAAGGCACGCTCTGAGAAAAGTTTACTTTATCCCTCAGTTCTCGAACAAGCCACGGATACAAAAAAGATTTACATAATTATCTCTACATGATGTGAACTCACAGCAGGAAAATCTGCATTATTTTGTAATTGTGGCCATCAATGAAAAACAGAAAGTCCTGATCTCAATACAAAGGTGGAGATAGAATCAACTAAAGTCATTTTAAGTCTGTAACACCAAATTAAGGTCATGCCTGGGACTGGGATCTATAGATTACATGGATCATATGATGAAGGAGCTTCAAAGGAAAAGAGCTGATCCCAAAAAAACAATTAATCTAAATAAAAAAATAACTTTCTGCTCTTGGGGGAAAGGGGAAGGGGTGATGAATCAGCGGTTCCAGTGGAGATACCTCTAATAATCAGTCCGTGTCAATCATTACATAACACAGAAATGTCTTCACCCTCCCACGTTGAACATCCCCGCAGTCTATCATCCTTGCTTTTTCAACCCATGGTTTTCTGTGCCTTTAGCGCGCGAAGAATAAGCAAAAGTCACCTGTTAACTTCATGGTCGGTAAATCTTCCCTGAGCTTTATGGGAGACTACATCTCGAAGCAACGGCTGGAGGAGACTCCCAGGGCACGGGAGTCTGGGCAGTTTTCATCCGAGAAGACAGTCGAGGGATCGGTCACGAAACGCATCTATCAGTGGCAGAGCGCGCTGAGTTGAAACTTCAGGATCTGTAGGATAAGAGCAAATGCTTTGTGTTCGTCGTCGCTTCTCTCTGAATGACGTTTCCTGTCCAGTATTCCGTCCAAAAGTACAGCGGCTTCTTTCGCAGTGGCGCATGAAGAGTGTTTGGTTTTTTTTTTTATTACGAGCGTGAGGAGCGTGCAGCGCGCCTCTTCTGCCGAGCGCACTGTGAGCTCTGTCAGGAGCGCATCCGGTCAGACTTTCAAACTAAAAGACAAGACTGGGTGGCGTCCGGCGGAAACGAGAGAGAGCTGAGCAAAGTCTGAAGGCAAAACTCAAAGCTTTCATCTATGTTTATTCATTCATTTAATTGAATGCTTTTACATCCCGAGACATCCTCAATGAAGTGTAACTGTTTTTATGATCTGTCATGTTATGAAATTGTGTGTGACTGGTTTTACAATCTGTAATTTTATTAAATTATGTATAATTATTATAATCTGTAATTGCCGCTTGTAGAGGACTACCTTGAACAAGAGGTTATTAATCTCAACAGGACTTTTCTGGTTAAAGTTGTCGCAATGAGCTTCCTCAGAGAGCAAGTGAGGAGCTCAGTCACACAGGAGGGGAGGAGCTCGGAGTAGAGCCGTTTCTCTCTGAAAGCCGTTCACACCGCCTAGCAAAATACTCAAATGTGTACATGTGACCTGTTATCTGGAAACACATATAAAATATACAGATTACGTTCAAAAGGGAAATATTACACATTTAATTACTGATATTTTAAGTGCTCAGAAGCCAACATCATGTTAGAAACATGATGTCGGCTCTTCTCTCCGCAGATATGACTTGTAACGTTGACATTCAATCTTCCATCTCCAGCTACAGACAAGCAAGAGAAGACCTACTGCCATCAAGAGCATAACATGTACGAGTCAAGACAGGAGCTGTTCAAGTTCAACAATAAATTATCATTATAATGCAGTCATGAAGGATTGGAAGAAACAAAACCTTACAATAATAAACTCATTCGTTAGATTAACACATCGGCATCTGTTAACTATGTGGTGTACAGCCCTACAGTATTTATGGTGCTGTCCAATAAGCAATGTACATATTTGTTATACATTACATAATGTGGAAAACAACATTATTTGAATGTTAAAAAGGACTCTATTATTATTATTATAGATTATTATACTATCACAATAATGGTTCAAAGCAACAGGTCTAAATCTGAATCTAATATGCTTTTTGCAGGGTATTTAGAAGACTAAACCACTATGTTACTGTTCTCTATGTACCATGATCTCGAACTGTGTTACAGCCCTCGGCCTTAGTTTTAGCCATCTTTAACTAGATGACTAGATCTGTGTGTGAACTCGACATAACACCGGCACTCCCACTTCCTGGAAATGCTCAGCTCCAGATTCTAATTGGAGGAGCAGCTCTACACCTGGCCAATCCTGCTTCGTCACCTGCAGTCTTCTCCCTTAACAGACCACACTCCTCACCTGTTGCTGATGTTCTTCAGATTTTATGTGTCTCTGGGTGACTTTGGGTAAAGGGACACTTGTTTCGATGTTTGGTTTTGTGACACTATGCTTTTGTAGGGGCAGCAGTTTTGATTTAACCCATAGTTCTGTGTTAGATTAGATTAGATTTGCAACTTTTTGCAACCCCCCATGTATTAGAATGTTACTATTTTTGTAATCGCAGCCCTGTCTTTTTATGTGGTGCTCTGCAACCCCAAAATCCCATTGAGATCATAAACACAAGTTCACAGTGTCATCCAGCCAACTTCATGTGATACTACTGTACCTCGCTCTAAAGCTTGGTCCCTCTGGAATTCACTTTTCACTTGATTTAAAGAATGTCAGAATGTTCAATAAAACCACATGTGTTCACTTTACTGAGTCACTTTGTCTCAGACCCTCATGCTGCAAACATGTACAGATCTATACATTTCTTACACTAGCATATACTGTAACTTATACATTCTTTATTATGCTAAAGTTGGAGATTTTATACTTGCTTCTTTAATATGCCATATTATTTTTGAGATTTTATTATATATTAGTGTAGTTACTGTTCACGTATCTTTTTGCTGTGTGCTCCTCATTCCTGCTGTTCTGTAACTATAGTGATGAATATTTGTAATTCAGCCACCTTCAGCTCCATCTAATGTGAAGCTCAGAACAGCCCGATTCCAGTTTTACAATCCGTGTTGTCGGCCCTTTGGACAATTATGTTGAACTAAAATGTCCCTCTTACCAACACTACTGGGTTAAAGTAAAGTATGGCTTACATCCCTCTTCATTAAATGACTTATTTTACTATTTTGCAACCTCCCTCACCTTAGCTGCTTCATAACAATATGAAAATGCTTAGTAATACAAGCTTCATTAACTTCTTATTTATAGCAGCAGCAGCAGACTTTTTTGTGTGTGCATGTTTTGGGATTTTTAAAAACAAAAATTTTAATAGGACGAGTTTGACCTGGAGCCTGAATATGTTTTGAATAATTGTCCGCACAGAGACAAGGGGGAGGCAGGGATGGATGGATAGTAGGTGAAACTGGACTGGATGTTATCTAGACATTCTGACAGACTGTAACTTTGGAATATCCTACTTCCTCGGAAAAAACTGAGACCCACTGAAACATGAGACATTTGGCTGATTAAAACCATTACTCTACATCAAGAGATGTGTGCACAGCTGTGTTTATGGTAAACACAGGGATGCACTGGACAGAAAGCCTAGGAGCGCAGATATTTTTAGAAAGTAGCTGTGCTTTGTGTGCGTTCATCTGGATTGGAATTGAATTTGGCTCAAAACGTGTGCTTTAGGTTATGCACAGAACAGCAGCAAGAGTCAATAAGTCCAGTCTATAATGAGAATCAGCTCGAATAGCAAAGAGTACAGCCCTTTTTCATACAGTCATAACATGAGCTTCTCGATGGCATCTCTGTTCAAGTCTTAATCTGTTTTTTCTAAATATAGCCCCAGTAAAAATCTGCTGCCATCTGCTGTTGAGTGCTGGCTGCCTGCATTTCAAAAACAGCAATAAACAACCACAGCGAGGACATAGGTTCAGAACTTTTTTATTAGAATGTGTTTACAGTTTCTCCATTTATATATATATATTTCATCCCCAAGGAAATATAACTTTAAAAAATAAAATAACAAAAGAAAACATTACAAAATAACATGTATTCTTGGCTGTGGTCATTGGAGCGATTCTGGGCAGATGTGAGTGTCACTTTTGAACGGGAAACTAAAACATGACCAAATATGAGTTTTAACAGTCGCTTAAGAAGTCTAAGCACAGGGTGGTAGCTTGCTAATGGCTTCACTCTAAATCGAAAAAACCTGAGTATTTCAAAAGATAGAAAACATCATAGAAAAATAAAATTTCACAGTATTTAGTCTACTATCAAACATAATGCAGAAATGGGAACGGATACAGGACCAGATTTTGGGGTCGGTTCTGTCTCATATGGAGCTCGATGTCCGCACATTTTCCAGAAAGGCCGAGTTTTGGCATAAATTATATATCTTAAAACAAAATAGCGCCCACGTTTTCTTTTCCCAGAATTCTGAGGGTATTCACAGTAAGAAATCAGATAATCAGAAAAAAATGGTTAGCGTTACCAAGGCAACTGTACTGGCTCAACAGGCGCAGCACTTCTCAGAATCTGTATTGCAATGAAACATGTTAGAGGAGTCATTTGTAAATATGCTAAACCAGATATTTGGCATTTTACTGATGTGTAGACCATATAGAACATCTTATTCACACCCAGCAGCAATAAAAACCAGGAACACTGGATATAACGACACCACAATTCACCTTAATAAAGCATGAAGACGGACTGTTGTGTGGAATTAGCAATGCAACACATTTAGGGCTAGACTCAACTAAAGAAATTGTTAATTGTGTTGGAAGATGACAAGCTAAAGGACATTTCCTGCTAAAATATTATTCCATGAGTGAAGATTGTGGCGCAGTAGTCGCTGTCACCTCTGGGTTCGAGTCCCGCTCCTGTACACGTTTGTAAGAATGTTGAAATGTTGATGTGGATAGTAATGTTATTTCTATTATTTATTATTTCTAAGCTACCTACAACACACTCATTAACTTTTTACCCAATCTAAATTATTGAAGTTTCCAGACCTTGTTAAGCTCTACACATTAATTGTGCTATTTAAAGCATTTAACAAATTGCTACCATGTAAAATACAACAATACTTTATTCTTAATGAAAAAACATATAATCTAAGAGGTCTTGGAAACTTCAAACTTCCAAAATTCCGATCGACTCGTAAAAGTTTCTGTGTGACTGTATGTGGCGTGAAATTGTGGAATGTTCTTGATCTCCAACTAAAACAATGCCAAGACATTCATAGATTTAAATCACTGTACAAAAACAATGTTTGGTCTGACTATAGAGGGAATATGCCTTGAATATATCTTCATGTTGCCATGTATGTATGTTTCTTGTATGTTTGTAATTGCCCCTGTTGTTGTTTCTTTATCATTGCTGTATCCTTACCATTGTTGGTATCGTCTGTTCCTTACCATTGTTGGTATTTTCTGTTCCTTACCATTGTTGGTATTTTCTGTTCCTTACCATTGTTGGTATTTGCTGTCCCTATGTACCATATTGATATTTACTGTCTTTACCATTGCTGGTATTTTCCTTATGCATTTGTTTTGCATCCTTGTAATACGTATCTTGTGTGTATATGTCCTTAAACCCATTAATTGCTACTTAAAAAAACCTGAACAGTTGATTCAAATGTGCCATTTGATTTGTTTTTGTACTTGAGCAAATGGGAAGCTCAATGAATAAAGTTTTGTTTTGTTTTTTCTTTAAGGCACCAGGGGTGGGATTAAATAAGTTTTCTTCTTCCCACTCCTTTTCGAGTATCTGTAAGTGTTTCTTTTGTGTATATAATATTCATAATTTTGTATAATGTAGATATAGCTCAGGGTCATTTATACACAACTTTGATATTCTACTTTTGTTTTTCTGTACACATATTTACTCGAAATAAACAAACTTTGATTGATTGATTGATTGATATCATTTTTTCCACTGTAATTGTTAAGTGGTTACCAAGGTGCTCCTTGCCAGGTCTCCCTTGAAAAAGAGATTTTATCACAAGGGACTTCCTGGTTCAATAAAAGGGACTTTTATGGGTGGAGTTTGCATGTTCTCCTCGTGCCTGTGTAGACAAGCACTATCAACTGTCTGCTAAAAAAAATGTTGGTATTGCTGCTATTGCATTTCCTGTGTTCGTCCTGTGATTCTGCTTTCTAATCTGTTGTTGGCGAATCCACAATTTTATAATGTCCTCTGAGACTGCTGCTGTGATTTGGGGCTGTACACAAATACATAGAATTTAATTAAAATGACCAAAATAGTAGTTTTAAAGTTTGCCAAAAAATATTGGCGTATTTTGTATATATCAGCTATTAATAAATTTATTTGAATGTCAGTATTTCAGAGGGTAATTGGCATTTTTCATCCACTAATAAAGTTGAAATACAAATATTCTTCATGCTTTAAAAAGGATGTAGTCAGTGCAGCTTTTACAGTGTCACATATAAATCTCTCACTTTATATAAATAGGCCAGAAACAGTAGTAATATCTTCACAAAAGCTATAGATCCAGTTACGTTTCCATTTATGACATAAATAAATAATATATTTGTTTCCTTTCAATCTGTATACATATAGTGCATATACATACATATATATATATATATATATTTGTAGTTAAGGGCTTTCAAAATATGTACAATAGTTCTCTCTGTATGTACTGTACACCTGCTTCATCAGGGCTTTGCATTAGACATGAAATAGGTACAGAGACATGGAACATGGACAACACACAGGTCACATGACACAGGTCACATGACACGCTCAGACCAGTGGATGGCTGATAGTCTCACAAATTGCATCATTATTGCTTCATTTTAGCTGAGGTTAATGTCGGTTTAGTAAGGGGCCGTCAGCGATTGTTTGAGTTATGATGAGTAGGCGAAAAGACCTGAAAAATCATCTGCGAGAGCAAAAACTAAATGAATTCGGACTGGACTGCGGTGTCACTGGGTATGAAGACCGTAACACTGATAGGATGATGGTCTTCTAAAGAAGGCACAGATATTACTATTATAAAACAGGAGATTTTAACTATAAAAAGTGGGACTGTCAGGAGACCGTTCCTCTTCTGCCTCATTCTCTCAGCTCTATAAATGCTTTTTGTCCTTACTCCTGCTCTTCAAATGACCACAACCCTCCTCAGCACCAGTGCATAGAGGCCCAGGGGGAAATGTTTTCTTCACAAATCAACTTTAATGTCCCTAACCCTAACCCTTACATTACTGATTCCAACAAAAAGCGTTTCAGCGAGTGCGTGTCTGCTTAATCATTTCTTGGATTGCAATTCTCTCTGAGGGCATAGTGCAGTAAAACATACATATGATTTCTGTTTTTAAACATTGACAGGCTTCTGAATTAATTAAAGACATAATGTGTATAATAATTCCAAGTTCTGCTAATTAATTTCAAGGTACGGTTATTAACTTCGAACTAGATGTAAAAATATATTATAGAATACTCCATATTTTACCATAATTTGCCTTTCTTATGAAAATACTGCTTTTTAGTCGAATGTTAGGGCCTTTCAGTACATGAATATATGTAAAGTGAGAAAGTCCTATTGCACCTATGATTAACATCCTCTTTATAACAACACAAAAGTTAGTAATTAATGTAGATATTTTGTTCTTTTAGCCCTTTAGGCATTTTCTATAGAGCTTTCTACAAACATTTCCCAAATATTATCGTACATCTTTTATTCGATTTTTATTACCCTCTTATTACACCTTTTTTTGTTTCACATCACATTGTTGAATAAAAACTGCTTGAACGTCATACTAACGAGCAGAAACAATGAGGTTATTTATGGAAGCGCAGTAGCGCAGGCCTCATAGGGAGCAGAAAAAGGTGAAACAGACGAGGCATCACAGTAGTACATTGCTAAATAATACTAGCATGTATAAACCGTATACAAAATAAAAACACAGTTATGTTGATGTTTATAAGGGTACCCTGACCTGCATTGTGTTTTCTTCAAGTTTCCCCCCAGTCTGAAAGCTCTACAGCCCGCCCTCCTCCATCAAATGTGCCACCCGCTCATCCCTGGGCTTAAGCCAGGGTCCCGGCCTCCCCGCGGCTGCTATAGTGACCCGCGACAGGCCCGAAATACTGGCCGCGTCTGACTGACTCTCCCCTGAATCTGACTCATCGTCCCCCTGGTGGCCTGGCGATGCGAGGAAGCGAAAGAGCTTGGTTTGGTCTTCCTCTGCAGCAGGTAAAGGCATTTTCCTAGACTCTCCTCTCTCCTCCTCTTCCTCCTCTGCCTGGCCTTGCTGGAACCTCATCACCTCTTCGCCTTCTGACCTAACTGACATGCACGCACTTTCTGGTCTCGGTAGTCTCCCCGGCTCTCTGCTCTCTCTAAACATCTGCCTGAATTCTCCTGTTAAATCCTGGAACGCTGTTGCCGTGTTGTTGTCGGCTTGCATCAGCTGTCTGTATTGACCGGTTAAATCTCTAAACTCGTCATCGTCGCTGTCTCCTCTGTTCATTGTACTAGAAAACTCTTGCTTTGGCCTGGGTAACCTCGGGGTAGGACTGGGAACAGGCAAGACTACATCCTCTTCCGGCTGTTCTGGTTCTATTACCACATCTGCCACCTCTCTTTCCGAAGGATTATTTCGCTCTTCGATAAATATCTCGTCATCGTTTGCGTCTACGGACTGCTCTATGTGCTCTATCTGCTCTTCGCTAACCTTCTCGTCTTTAGCCCTCCTTTCGCTCTTGCTTCTATGCTTCTTCTTGCTCTTTTTCCGCCTGCTTTCTTTGGCGCTGTGGCTTCTGTCTCGCAGTAAACTTTGCGATTTCTTCTTCCCGTCTCGGCCCTTCTTCTTCTCCCGTCGTTCGGTCGTGGCGGAGTCGGGACTTTGCAAACCAGATTGTTCCCCCCGTCTTCTGCTGCGTCCTCGTCGGTGTGAAGACCTGGTTCTCCCGCGGTGTTCGGAGCTGCGAGCCCTCCTCGGTCTCCGGTCTACTGCAGCCAGACCCTGCTCCCCGGGGCGACGCAGGGGCGAGAGGGAGCGAGATCTGTGCTCACGGCCTGCGCACGCAAACAATGTATGGTGTTAGCGGAGGTGCGCAGTGTGAGGAGTGGGTATTATGTAATGGAGGCTGTGGAATGGAGGCTTTTATAACAGCTTGTGTAACAGGCGCTGCTGTTTTAGGATTGATTTTGGTCAAACTGTAGATCGCAGCACAGGTCTGGGCAGCGGTGGCTCCTTCTGTGGGACTCAGCTACAGATTCATATTACTGCTGCTGTCCTCGTTTGCATTCTTGTAAAACAGTGAGCAGCTGACGTGGCTCTCTGTCCTCCAGACGTCAGCTACATTGGCTATTGTTTATTTTCAAATGTATTTATCTCTGTTTTCCAGAATATTTAAAACAATATATGATTCCTTTCCAATCCTCAAACAGTTTGCGTCATGTAAATCAGTCTTTTTTTGTCGTCCCAAGAGTGAAAAAAGAAGCTGGAAAACATGCATTTGAATTTAAAGCTCCGTCTAACTGGAACAGTTTGCCGTTGTCCATTCGCTCTCTAACTTCTCTGCCTCTGTTTAAATCTGCTCTGCTACAATATCTCCAGAATTCATGTCAATGTTTTTGATCTTAGGTTATGAGACCTAATCTTGTCTTTACTGTCTCCTAATTATTGTTATTACTATTATTAATAGTATTATCCTTATTTAGTGTAATTACAGTACAGTCACAGCGTGTGTGTGTGTGTGTGTGTGTATGTGTGTGAGTGATTGAGGGTTTATGTGTGTGTATTTTTTTATGTATATATATATTTTTTTATTATTTTCTTGTATTTTTCTTTTGTATCTGTTTTGCTGTATCTGTCACTTCGTGAAATCTCGAGGACCCCCTCGAAAATGAGATGGTTCATCTCAAGGGGCTTATCCTCTAAATAAATAAATAAATAAAACTACGTTCACTTATTTTATCTGAAAACATTTTTATCTGCTTCCCTGTTGTTCTAAAGCTAGAGATTTTATACTTGCTGCTTTTAGATGCTAACGTTGAAGATTGTTATTCTATTTTTATTTTATTTTAGAGTTCTTGTTCATTTATCTTGTGTTGTGTGCTCCACATTCCTACTGTTCTGTAACTGGTGATAAAACACTGAAATTTCCCCACTGTGGGAAATACAAATAAAAGGATCTCTTAATTTTAAATGCTCGGATTTTAGACATGGCGTGGATTATGGCTTGGTAAATTTCAGAGTCTACCGATACAATACAGATCTCAATACAGGGGACTTTCAATTTGATAGAATAATTTGAATATATATTGTTCAATCTTTACATTTCAATTACAACTCTGTATAAAATATAGGCTTGAATATTAATTAAATGTTTTCTCACACTACCAGATTCAAACATTACAACAATAAGGATGCATTCATAATTCAGCGATTAAAGTTAACTGTTTTCAAAATATAAAAACAGAAAACAGATCAAACAATACATTAATATTGTATCTAAAATAAACATAATTATTATATATTTAAGCACACCCCTAGTTTGGATAAGGTAGATACCACTGCATTAGATAATATTATATCGGCTCTTCTTGTTCGGCTTTCTCTTCAATACTAAGACTTCCATCAGAGGAGAATGCTATAATGGTAAAGGTTGTTGCAATAGTCTCACTGTTGTTGATCAGAAAGAATATAATAATAATAATAAAATGATTTTACATAAGTTCACAGTCTGTTGTGAGAATCTGTAAATAGTCTTTTGTTGCTATGTTACGCTCTCGGATGACTGAGCAATTACATGAACATTCTACAACTATTTAAAGCATATATTCCTGTTCTGCAAACTGGGAACTTATAATGATAGTTTTAGTTGAGCCGTTATAAAGTGTTGAGCATTGTTTGTCTAATGTGAAGTGAAAATAAAACCCTCAGCTCACACAATGGAAAAGAACAGATAGATAGCATTGGTATTTAGGAGTGATGATCCAGCAGTTCATTTTTGTGCTTACTTTTTAACTTTATCTTGTCAGTATCTCCGTAGACAAGCTGAAAACCTTGCACCATATGTGGCATAGTTTAGTGATTCCTTTTAAAAAATTGAATCAAGTTGTTAAGAAAGCTCGTCAGCGTCTCTACTTTCTGCGGAAACTCAGAGAATTTACCACAAACTCTAAGATCCTGCTTAACTTTTATCACTGCAGAGAAAGACCAGAGAAAGACCAGACAGAGACCAGAGGGAGACCAGAGAGAGAGACCAGAGAGAGACCAGACAGAGACCATAGAGACCAGAGAGAGACCAGAGAGAGACCAGAGAGAGACCAGAGAGAGACCAGAGAGAGACCAGAGAGACAAGAGAGAGACCAGAGAGAGAGACCAGAAAGAGAGACCAGAGAGAGACCAGACAGACCCCAAAGAGAGACCAGACAGAGACCAGAGAGACCGGAGAGAGAGACCGGAGAGAGGTGCTCCGCTCTGAAAGAGGACTGTGAGCTGTGAGACCCGAGAGAGACCGGAGAGAGAGAGACCAGAGAAAGACCAGGCAGAGACCAGAGAGAGACCAGACAGAGACCAGAGAGACCAGAGAGAGACAAGAGAGAGACAGGGAGAGACAAGAGAGGGGTAATTTACTCTGAAAGAGGACTGTGAGCTGCCTTTTTCTGAAGGTTCTTTATGAATCCAGATTCTTAAATTGAGATCTCAGTTACGCTAACAGTTTTTATCCACAAGCTGTTATCAGTGTGAACAGAGCACTTTGATGATTTGCACTTGTTTTGAAACCGTTTTAGTCGATCGATTTCACAGTGACATTTGTTTACTGTTTTATTTCTGTACTTTTAATGTTGTTTTATGTCTGTATTTGTCTGTGCATACTGGAGACTTTTTGCTAATTTATTCCAATGTGGTGTTTTTACTGCAAATGGCAAATAAACTGAATCTGAATCTGATCATCAATTAATCATTGACTCCTCTGACCCCTGGAAAAGCCATGTTCCAGCTTCTTCCCTCTGGCAGAAGATATCATTTGTTGAGATGCAGGACATCTCGCTTTGCAAACAGCATATTTTCACAAGCTGTTATCAGTTCAAACAAAACACTTGATATGATCTTGACTTTGTCTTGAAGCAGTTTTTCTTGATCAATTTCACTGCCACAATTGTTTCCTGCACTTTTTTTTTTAAAGTGTATTTTATTTCTGTACTTGTGCACTGGGGACTTTTGCAAATGTATTCCAGGGTGGTTTTACTGCAAATGGCCAATAAAAAGAATCTGAATCATCTGACATTATAAATCATGAAAATGAGGAAAGCGATGGAGGCGGGGCAGAAGAATGCAGAGAGAGAAAATGGGAGAACTAACAGGAACCATTACCAACCGCGTATTCTCGGTCCGTCCAATGACATAGAAGCAAGGCTCGCCCAGCTTGGAGTTGGTCATGCAGAGAGACAGGCTGGAGAGCTCCACTGAGGCAGAGGCAAGAGGGAAGCAGAGGGGACAGAAACGTGGACAGCAGGTGAGAACCATAAGAAGAATAGAAAAAGAAGTTAACTTGGATCTGAGGGAGGAGGAAAAGGCCACAGTTCCCAGAATTAGTCACAGGAGAAAGTGGAGAAGGTTGACAAATGAATGGTCAATCGTCAATAGCCCATTGTCAGATGTAATTATAGCATATATTTGTTTGGAACATTTGTAAATGAACATCAGTATTGTTTTGAATTTGCTGTATTTACTTCTTAAAACCCACTTTTATGGAACAGACTTCCTAAAACTGTCTCTGTGTTCTATTTTACTCTTCCACATTGCCTTTATTTTTATGTCGATTTTTTTGAGTTCCGTCTGTTTCCCCTGTATTTATTTCTTGTATTTCTTGATCATTTATATTTTAATGACTGTTTAATTTCTTTATGCTGACTGTGCAGCGCTTTTTAAATCACTGTTTTTGATAACAAAAACAGTTTATTTGTAAGCGTGCTGAGCTTCTAGTTCATTAATTTGAATGCGGACAATGGATATACATACACACACAGAACAGCTGCCCCAAATACTCTCCATTGGTGCAGAAGCTGGAATGGACCGCGGGGTATCTTGTTTCTGAGGACGTGTTTAAATGAGGACGTTACTCCAGGCTTTCAGCTTCATTGAAGTGAAAGCCGCCGCCTCCTTCTGTTCAAACTTATGTTTTATCTGGTCCCAAACAATCCTTTTAGCCGGGATAAACTCTTGTGGAGCTTTACTTGCAGCATGTTGAGTGCTCTGTGTTACTGCTCTGACTGTTTGTTTTTGCCATCCATTGAATGGTTCAATGGCTTGTTTCTCACTGCCCAAACAAAAGCTGGTTCTGTGGTCTTTGGCTCAAACTTACCTCTGACCAGACCCAGACCCTCAGAGGAGCGGGAAGCACCTCAGACTCCTCCAAATAAGTATTTATCCATTATAAAAGGAGTCCATATTGGAATTACGTATTGACATTCTCACAAAGTGCGTGTTAATGTGTATGAACAGGGTTTAAAACGTCCTGTGCCGAAGCTTTGGACTCACACACTCATATGTATTCTGCAGAAACGGAAGGGGCCTTTTGAGGACCGGTTTGAGATCCCTGAGTTAGGTGGACTTTTACTATTACATTTGAAAATTAGGTACCTCAGCTTTAAGTTACTAGAATAGTTACATTGCTTCCATTACTCTAAGGTCTAATTTCACTTACAAACAATAGTTAATATTTTCATCTGCAAGTACAGTATTGATCATTGAATGGACAACATTGGTCAGCTTTGGTGATAAGAATAAATAAAAGAGGAGAAAAGCAGCAGTGTGCGAGTGTAGTTTTGTGGTACCGTAGTCGGGCACGTAGCCGTTGCCTCTCTTCAGCACCAGGTGGATACGGTGTCCTCCTCTGCGGATCTGCTCCACGGCCTGACTGTGCGTCATCCCCACTGTGCTGTCCCCGTTTATCTCCACCAGCTGATCGCTCACCTGGAACAGCCACACATGTAGTGTTGGTGACAGCGTGCACACATCAAGAAGGGTACCCCAGAAGGACCCTTACATAAACAAAATACAGGCTAAAGCTGGGGTTCCTCACTTTTCTTAATACATGTTTGTTCCCACAGAAAGTGTCTTATATAAATGGCTTGACTAGTAGTAGCTCATCATTTTGTGTTATTTTGTATTTGTTTTATTTTGACTTCAGTTCTCTAGATTTGTTTTAAGCAGGACTTCCTGTCTTGTTCCCCTGTGTTTCACCTGTGTCTCTCTGTGTCTATGTACCTGTGCTCATCCCACTTGCTGCTGGTCCATTGTCTTTGTCTGTCTTTGTTCCTGGTTCTGTTTGGATTTTGAGTTTGTTTTTACCTTGGACTTTTATTTTATTATGTTAATTAAATCGTAAGTTTTAGCATTCCTGCATTTTGGGTCCCTCCTCGTCTCAACACATGACACTAGAGCTGTGTTCAACTTTACATAAAACAATAAAACTAGAACACACAGAAAACAGGAGAAAAGAACTACCAAGAGCAATAGACAATGTATATTTCAATTATATTTTTGTAAATAACTTTATACGACATAACAGATATTGATTTAAAAATAGACACAAATTCGGATGTGATGTTTTGATTTTTTTTTGTCTGAGTCATTGTCTTTCAGTCATTTGCTTATATATGTTGTAAGTTATTATGTTAATCTGAAAAAGCTGGTCTAAAAAGAGGTCTAAAGACACATGCAGGACCAGTTACATGGATTTTATCACATGGTTCCATTTTTTGTTTGAATATTAAGTCCCACAGCTTTATTAAACATGTGTCCCTGGCAATATTCCTTAAACCCAGAGTTGAAAGCTTCAGTGCTGTGCAGTGCTGTTCCCCTGTTGATCGTCTGCTCATGTGTTTCCCCTGTGTCTCTTTCTGTCTATCTGTACCTGTACAGATTGACAGTTTTAGTTTGATTTATCATCATTAAATCACTAAATCATTGTTTTTTGCATTCCTCCTTCATAACCCTAACCCAAAACCCAAACCACATGAGGGTAGACTAAGAAAAGCGAATGAGATTTCAAATTCAATATAATACCAGAACCACAATATGCTTTTCTGAATGAACCAGAGAAGTCCATCATAATATATTTTGTATCAATATTTGGATTACAGAGCACTTTTGTATGATGAAGGTGTTTCCAATCCGTGCTCAGTTCGGCTTCCTGTCCGTGCACTCCGCAAAGGCAGATAAATGCTGTTATTGCAGTGTTTAAAATGATGCCTCTCACTATTGCTCATTCGGTGGTGATAGACTGTGATTATATCTCGCTTCCTTCAGGGTCTATTCTTGTGCAGCTCAGGTTGCTTGTTCTATTTCATTCATTCCTAATTGAACGGTTCATTTTGTATGGTCCAACAAAACGTCTATAATAATTCTCAGGAGGTTTTCTTTCAGCTATTTGTTCAATACACTGCATGGAGCCAGAAGAAATGGCAGGCACAGAACATCGGCGGTAATCTGGTGAAATCAAAAGACTATGTCATTTGTAAGCCCCATGGTTTTACAATGTCATGTGATTGTGTTTCAGTCGACGTGAAGGAAACACTGTTATTGGAAAACTATTCATCTCTGAAACCTAAAAACAGGACTGTCCTACAGGTTTGCCAAGGCATTTCTTTGAATGAGAAGCATTTGCTGAAGAGAGTAAAGAAGGTGAATAACGACTGCACAGAAGCTAAAGACACATGGATTTTGGGAATTGTGGTTACTTGAAACAAGAGATTATTATTATTATTTGCCGACACCTGGTTTATACAGTATGTGGAAGAAAATACTGTCATCTGGATCAGGATGTATGCAGTTTCAACAATAAAATAAAGTGCAATGCCCTGGGGCATACTGACAGAAGAGAGGCAACAGGTTTGTGCCATTGGCCTTTCAGACAAGCACCAACAAATCCTCCACACACAGACCAGGGCTGGACTGGGACAAAAAACAGCCCGGGCATTTTTGCCTTCTAGGCGGCCCAGGCATGTTTTTTCATGTTTTTACAGTTTTTTTATACCGGGAGTCGGCAACTCAAAAGGTTCAAAGAGCCATATTTGACAAAAAAAAACTCAAAACAACATCTGTCTGGAGCATTGTATGAGGCTTATAAGAAGGTAACACAGGCTGCAAGCTGTATTAGCTATATTACCCTAATATCTAAATGACAAAGAAAGTAAACGCTACAAATCCATAATAAGCATTCATGATTGTCAAATGTGTATTTTCACTGCAGCGTGTCCTGGAGAGAATGACGCACCACGTGACGACTCTTCTTTAAGTTTAACTTCAATTTTTTTGCCTTGATGCAATTGTAGAAATACAGTAAATAAATCTGCTTTTTGACTCAGAGTTCACCTGCATCACAGAACAGTCTGTTCATATCCACCGCATCACAGGCGGTGGAGCTGTATTAATGTCCTTAATGGCCCTTTCTTTCACCGTCTTTGTCTTTCTCTTTTTAGCTTTGGGATCCGTGCGCACACGCCGGTTTGTTTACCACAGCGGCCGCCTGGTGCGGGGCCGCGTCACTGGATATAACACATTACGTTGACAGAAATGTTAAAATTGAATATTACTTGCGCACTTTTTACAGCATTTAAAAACGTTAAGAATGTTTTTCCTACAGAAACCAAATTCAAACTAGAAATAAAATATAGCCCTCCCACTCCATTTTCAGACATTTGTTAAAAGGCTCCAGGAGCCACTCGAGGAGCCCTAAAGAGCCGCAGGTTGCCGACCACTGGTTTATACAGTATGTGGGAGAAAATACTGTAGAGGATCAGGATGTATGTAGTTTCAACAATAACATAAAGTGCAATAGTTTACATTACAAGAGAGTAATAAACATGTCTCAGAGTGAGGGAGGTGGACACAGACAACACAAATGTTTTTTACATGGATGAGAATTGGCCAAAAAAGTCTGAAATGCATAATGTCAGCCATTGGCTGTCACTAAATCTTTTTGATTTGTTCACAACATTTTATGTCATGGGCACAAATAATAACTTTTAATCCAATGGAAAATGTAGGTACCCGAGCTTTAATTTAGGGAGTTTAGTTCAATCAATCAATCAAAGTTTATTTGTAGAGCGCCTTTCATGCACAGGGCAACACAAAGCGCTTCACAGTCCACATCACAAATCATCACATAAAACAAACACCAGAATCACAATTAAAACATTAAAATCACACAAAAGATTAAAACACAATAAAAACAATAAAATCACACAAAAGAATAAAACCATTAACACTTTCAAAGTTACACAAGAAATTTAAAAAAAATAAATAAATAAATAAATGACAGCAGTGCATTACAAATGGAGATAAAATCCTTCAGTTGTATGCACAGGCAAACAGAACAGTCTTTAACCTGGATTTGAACATTGACAGAGTAGACGCCTCCCTCACATTTTCAGGGAGATTGTTCCAGATCTTAGCTGCATAGATCTGAAACGCAGCCTCCCCATGTTTGGTTCTCACTCTGGGCACCAGCAGGAGGCCAGTCCCTGTGCTCCTCAGAGTCCGGGCTGGTTCATATGACACCAACATGTCACTAATGTATTCTGGTGCAAGGCCATGGAGAGACTTGTACACAAGCAGAGCTGTTTTAAAATCTATTCTTTGAGCCACAGGAAGCCAGTGCAGAGACCTGAGGACCGGACTAATATGGTCATACTTCCTGGTTCCTGTCAGGACTCTAGCTGCTGCATTTTGGATGTACTGCAGCTGTTTTGATTTCGTTTTTTAGAATTTAAAAACATTTTTGAGCTGGTGCGAGGAACACACACAGTCTCAATTGGACTAAAATGTGAAAACCCTTGTTGTTCTTTAGCTCCCAGAGTCAGAAGGGAGTCAGCACAGTTCAGTGTTTGGACTGGTAATGCACTGCCAGACGGACAGGGAGCAGTGTTTGCACCGTTGTACTCACCCGGTGCTGGTGAGCAGGAGGCGGGGGATTGCGGTGGGGTCCGAGGGGGCTCAGATGTAAACAGTCACGCCCCCCTCGGGGAACGCTGAACAACGTAACGCATGTAGCCCATCAACAGGCTGCTACCGTATCTGTTTGGGTGTAATCCGTCTGGACGATAGGCTTCGTTACGTTTCCAGAAAAGGGCAAAGTTATTCACAAAGACAAAGTTAAAAGAGCTGCATGTAGCCTGGATCCACATATGCAGCGCCACAACACGACTGTAGAGGCAGTCACCTCTGTTTACAGTCGGGATTGGACCAGAGATAAAAACAGATAATCCCGTGGATTGAAGGAGGTGGAACAGATCCATAAAATGTTTCTTAGTGACTTCTGACTGCTGAAGTTTCATGTCGTTAATTCCCACATGCACGACTACCTTGGAAACGGTATCAGGCAGGGACTGAAGCAGAGGAGGGAGACGGATGAGCAGGTCTGGTACAGTAGCTCCGGGAATACAGCGAGTGACCGCGTTAAAGAAGCGGACGTGTCTCACGATGGAATCTCCAATAATCAGAGTGGTCGGGGCGAAGAGTGGCCTCGGAGAAGGAGCTCGGTGGACGGAACCAGCGGGTTCACCCGAAGCAGGACCGGAGCCTGAGCGCCGCTGAACACATGGAGAGGAGGAGCGGGGGTGCTGACTCTCAGCTACAGGCGACCCACGCTGTGTGCTCGGGGACGCTGGAGCGGTGAGAGGGGCTGGCTCTGGGCGCTGCTGCTGACCCGGTGGAGGTGAGCGATGGTAATGATGGCTCGCTACCCCAGTCTGAGGCTGCTGCACTGGGGTCAAAGAAGGGGAACAGGCCAACATGGCTGGTGGACCGCTCTTTCGCCTGAGGACTGCTTCCTTTAGGAGCGTTTTCCTCGCAGTGGACTTGGATCCTCGAGCAGTAGAGTACGCTGCAGTGTCCAGGGATTCTGCTGAGGGGGCCGGGATGTCAGTGGAGAGGGCTGCATAGCGGTTTGCCAGACTAAGGACATGGGCCACGGCGCAGGATGGCTCCTCGGAATCCGCGGGCTCGTTGTTCGGAACCGGGCGCTTAGGTGTAGAACAGGAGGGTCCGGAGCTGACGGATCTCTCCCACACGACAGTGTCACAATATGCAGCACTCAGTGACATAAGCCGTGAATGCTGCCCACCAGCGACTTCAAAAAGTTTGGACACTAGAGATTGTTTCTCATTCAACTCTGCGGTGAGACGAAGGACTTCTTTTCGTAGTTCTGCAATGGTGGCACGGTCGCTCTCACGGAGCTCCAAGGTGAGGCGACTAATATTGTGCATGTTTGAGCCAATTTCATTGTCACTTTCCATGTCCTCGTTAGCTTGTGTTAGCTTCTGTGCTACTAGTGGGTTTCAGTCGGGACTAAGCGCTATTTGCTGAAACCACTGAATTAATAACATAAAACACTCAGATATATTAAAAAACTGAACAATAAAAACGCGCTAAAAAGTTGTTAAAAGTTTACTAAAAAGGTGCACAGAGCAGCCCTGCAGTACTGCTTACCGGAAGCATCCGAGTCCGGTTTTTTCGGACAACAACACTAGTTGCGAGAGTTGAGAGGAGAGGGGAAACGTGGACTGTTTCCTGCAGCGGTGTTTTCATTTGGTGCACAGATTACGCAAAGACACGCATGGTCCTGTGCGCGTTTATGGTTTTAAATGGTCACGTAGCGGCTACGCGCTCACCGTGTTGTGTTGTGAGCTGTTCCCGCATCCAGCTCAGAGCCGCTGGATGCGGGAACCGCTCATTACATAGCGGCCGCAGCTGCCCGCGGACACACGCACCCCCCTCAAACAATTCTCAACGGATGTACACTTTTACCAAACTTGTTTTTGTATGAGGCAGAAAGGCCGGCCCAAATATGGGCATCGGCCCTTCAGGCATTGCCCGGTACACCCGATGGCCAGTCCAGCCCTGCACCAGACTTTTTCTGGTGCATTTTTCTTGTTATTTGATTTCTATGTTTCCTTTCTATTTTCATAAAGGACTTTGAATTGCCCTGTGTAAGAATTGTGCTTTCGGGAAATGGAAATTAGAAAGAAACCTGGCTCTCCCCTGGACACTGTGGTGGTCAGCCTCTATCTATATAAAATAAATATGTCTGTTTCATGTATAAACTGTATCTAAACCTGGACCAACCTGCATCTTGTGGCTGTGTGAGGCAGGCCCTCCGTCCATCAGCGCCAGGACATACAGCCCCATGTTGTACTCGCTGCCTCCTCTCAGACTGAAGCCAAACCCTGAGGGGCCCCGGTCCAGGTCCACACTGTAGTACCTGGAGTCACGCTGGAAACAGAGACACACAAACCTAGTATTAACATCTGTATTTTCAGTCCATCATTTATTGTTGGAGAAAATCCAGTATAGAGTATGTTTTTACCTTGGGTCGTGACCGCTGTCCTTTCCTGCCCCGGTGACTAGAATCAAAGTCATTGGTCTCTGGGTAGGTGCTGGAGGAGTCTACAAAGCACCATGATTAAAACAAGAAAAAATTCATTTGTACCATTTTCTATCGAAGTGCATTTCATATTAGATGAGCAGATTTGTGCTGGAAAACAAATGCAAGTCACTCTCAAACTCAATCAGTCACGTTTTAGTATTGATGTAGATTATAAATATAGTACAGTGGCCCCTTGTTCATCGCCGGGGTTACACTAAAAATAACACCGCAAAATCATTGAATTAGAGGCTCTGTGTTTTAAGGCTGTAAACCTCCTCACACACTGTATACACTTTTCTAATCAGCTGAAATCACGACTGCTGAAGAGATATCACAGAGATGACCAGAAATATAACCTGTTGGTTGTGGTTCTGAGCACTGCTGCAGCTGTCAAAAGCCGTGCATACACTGTAAAATACAGCTGCAGAGGACACTGCGCAGAGGGGCAGGAGCAAGACTGAGGACTTCAGGAAGACTGTGGTGGTCCTCTGAATAGAGGTAACTGTAGGGCTGAAACAACTAATCGATTAATCGACGACTAATCGATTATTGAAATAGTCGACAACTATTTTAGTAATCGATTAATCGTTTTCTGGTTCACACGGACTCAAACAGAGCAAAAATGACATGAAAATGTAGTATTTTTGATTAAAACCGACTTTGTTTTTATAATTTCATGAATATCTGTCTGTCTCATCCAATCAGATAGCAGAATTAGCACAAAGAGCCTGTTACAAACATTTACTTTAAGTTTACGCCGTCAATACGTCCTCGAGTGTTGCCACTTTAGCTTTTTGTGATGAAAAAAAAATTTTTTTCTACACAATTCACAGCCAAGCGATTAATCGATTAATCGTAAAAATAATCGATAGATTAATCGATTACAAAATAATCGTTAGTTGCAGCTCTAGGTAACTGTAATGATATACTGGCCGTTATATGATGTTGTATCTGATCTTGTTGGAGTACAAACACATGAGAAGCACGCTGTAAAAAAGACACCCAGAAATATTTTCGCAAAACGAGGCTACAAAAAATGAACCGTGTAAAAGGGGACATAACGGTATTGTACTAATGGTATTGATTTCATGACATTTTTTTATTACCATATATCTTAATATTATACATTGCACTTGTTTTAGAATGTGTATATATGGTAAACAATAATATGGTAAAACAAGTATCAAGGTTAAATAAGGCCATCGGTCTGCCCTATCTCTATGCTAAATGTTTTATATTTTTCCAAATTTGACAATTACTGACAGCAAACACTGCAATTGTAAAGAACAAACTTCTACATTCAAAACTGCATTTATGAGTGTGATGTCATAGCGGCACAATGACATCATACTTTTACAGGACTGAGACAGGAGATTTTAGACGGTAAAGGCACAGTTAAATGTGTGTATCTAAAAAAAACAACTCAAGGTCCGAGACGGACGAGGAAAAATGTGGTAACATGGTTAAAAACTCAAAACCAGGATTTTAGCTAAAAGCAGCCCAGGGATATAATGCCTTTGTCAAAGAAGGTCTAAAGCAGAACATACAATGCATGTGATATTTTAGATGTGAAAGAGTTTGTGAGATCCCAGCGTGTTCAAACACATTTGTCACTCACAGGTGCTGGGTCTGGGTACGATGGTGAGGCGCAGACTGTTCCCAGCCCTGCGCAGGATCTGAGAGAGCTCTCTGTGGGGCAGGTGGACCACGGAGCGCCCCTCCACCGCCTCCAACCTGTCCCCAGGCCGGATCTGACCACTTTTGGCTGCAGGACTGCTCCGGCGCACAGTCACAAAGCGGTGGGGCAGAAGAGAAGCCGCTGGAAATCAAAAGATAAAAAATAATAATCAATAAGATAAAATATAATAATATATTACTACCAATTGATATATTTTTGTTTTTTGTATTTATGTCTTTATTATTATTGTTTATAGATGTATTTTTATTTTTTTTTATTTTTTGAAGGGGACAGTGCATATTAATCAAATGTGTCCATGTAATTATGCCAGATTTAACCATAAAGACTAGTTTCCATTTTTTTGATTATTTCAGACAGCTGTAGTGTTTATTCATAAAGATAACTTGATAATGTCCCACCCGTAAGAGGGTTGAAGAGAAGGATCAAACAGGCACAATATAATGATTCAAGTTGACATATTCATGAAGTGAAGGCATTGAAACAGCAGCAACGAGGCGTATAAAGTGGAGAGAAAGTGGTTAAGGTACATCTGTGTAGTGTTGTGTTAGTGCCATATGAACCAACTCGGACACTAACACAAGGACTGGCCTCCTGCTCAGGACTAAAAATGGGGATTATAGCTGCATTTCAGATTTACGCAGCTAAAATCCAAAACGGTCCTCCTGAAAATGTGAGACAGGCTTCTTCTCTGACATTGTTGAAATCCAGGTTGAAAACGGTTCTGTTTAGCTGTGAATACGACTGCAGGATTGTGTCTTGTTGTTATGTGAGCTTGTTTCTATCTTTGAGTTGCCTTGAAAGATCTATGGATGCTATAATAGTAAAACTTGCCTTGCCTACTCTAAAATTTCAACACATTTATATTGAAACTAGACAATAAATAATGAGGCCCAGTATCCGTTTATCCATCCATCTGTTATTGAACGATTCGTTGACATGGTAATTATTGAGGCTGGCCTATGTGGAAGATACACAAACCTAATTCTTACACAATATTTTATCCTTTCCCACTTCCTGATCCTGAAACTCTTATGCCCCTCTCCTAGACAGAAACCTTAGCATCAGCCACCTCAGCCCCCAAACAAACCGATCATATTCTTTCACTTGTCCGTCTTATTTTAGGTCTCTCTCTGATCAAATGCATCTTAAAACTTTTAACATTTGGATCCAAAAGCAGAACTTCTCACCAAAACTTAGCTTTTACCTCAAGAGGCCAAACAGGTCTGATTTACTTCACTGCAGCTCATGCCAGACTTCTTAAAACAGGTTGTAATTAAGCTTTAGATTGTTTTTGGCACAGAGTGAATGCCATAAATTAGACAGAAATCTTTCTTCTTGCAGCTTCTCCTTGAAACAACCTCCGCCTCCATCTCTGCCATTCATCAGCCTACATCTCCATCACTGACACAACACAAACATCACTCATTCCTCTTCTGTTGTCTCAAAGCAAAACATCTCTTTTCTAAGGTCAAATTAGAATAAACAACATTAAGAAATGTGTTTTTATTAAGTTAACTTAACTTGACTGATCGTAAAAATAATAGTGAGTAATTCAGGTTTGAAATTAGGGCTGCACAATATTGGAAACTAGAGCGATATTCGATATGAGTGTTTAGTATTTCGATAACAATATTATTGCAATATTTTTGTCTTTCACCTAAAACTGCAATCTGCAGTGAAACGCAAGAGACAAATAACAAAAAATAAGCACAACATTAATGACATTCAAATGCATATATTTATAATTTTTTTGTTTGTTTGTTTGTTGAATGTTGACGCAATTTTTTCGATATATTGTGCAGCCCTAGTTGAAATCAACCCCTCTTTTGATAATTGATTAGTTTTGAAATGAGATTTTTCATTAATTGAAGATTAGTCAAGATCATAAAAGGCAAAAAATTTCAAAAAGTAAAAGCTAAAGTGATGCCGCTCAAGATGTTGACAGAGCTGTGAAATTAAATGGAAACACACCACCAATTATGTCCCTATGAAAAATCCAAATGTCTATGGTTCAAAAGTGTTAGTTGAATTGAAAGTATTTGATCAATCAGAGACTGTATGCATAGTGGCTATTGTAGACACTGGTATAAATATGTTGAATGAATGTATCTCGGTGCTATGGTTACTGAGTAATGAGATTCACATAAGACATTATTTATTTCTAGATATTAAGGTAACAAAAATTAAATCTAAAGGAACCAACCCAGCCATAATTAAGCATAAATATAGTTATTAAATATGTTTCTATTTTCACCAACTTTGCGTGAGTGTGTGAAAATATATTACAGAGGGGAAAAAAAACAATAACACATCAGATACTACTTGGCTGCCAGCATCTTGCACCCCGCGGTTTTGTGATGGATTGTCTCTTTGCACGACCTACACCTTGGGTCTGGTGTGGTTTATCTTAGCCTCTGTCGCTCCGGGGCTCAGGGCCTGCTCCTGTGCAGACATGATGAGTGCAGGCCAGCCCTCTCCAGCCATTGCTAGGACTTCTGGAGGACTTCTTCAAATCAGCCACTTCAGTTATGAGTCCAGGCTTATCCTCCCATGATGGTCCCTCCTCCAGCACGTCCTCAAGCACCTCCTCCAGCACGTCCTCCAGCACCTCCTCCAGCACCTCCTCCAGCACGTCCTCCAGCACCTCCTCAAGCACCTCCTCAAGCACCTCCTCCAGCACGTCCTCAAGCACGTCCTCCAGCACGTCCTCCAGCACCTCCTCCAGCACGTCCTCAAGCACCTCCTCCATCACCTCCTCCAGCACGTCCTCCAGCACGTCCTCAAGCACCTCCTCCATCACCTCCTCCAGCACGTCCTCAAGCACGTCCTCAAGCACCTCCCCCAGCACCTCCTCCAGCACCTCCTCCAGCATCAACTGCTTTCTAAATCTGTCAGACTAAATTATTATAAATACTTTGTATGAAAATTTAGTTTAATGTTTTCTAAGATTACATAAATACTTCTGACTTTGACTCTAACTAATTACATGCACTTCAATAAATAGATAATACAGGGACAATACCCAAAAGCACAACTAAAGCTCCTAGGGATTATTATATGAATAACTCTTTAATAAAAAATAACATTTATTGGATTTTTCTTTAGTTTTTTACAGCAGTGCGCGTGCATGTGTGTGTGTGTGTGTGGGTGTGTGACAGATTGTCTATATAATGGTCTTATTATTTCTAAATGACAACAACACTGAGATCGCTTTTCCAAAGCTGCTGCAGTCCTAGTATAGTTTTAGCACTAAACATCAACATTCATTATCTAATGTAATTCTAAGCCAATGTATTCTATTTTAAAGACATGATTATTTTCGAATCCTCAAAATGAAAACAGAACATACAACTGTTCTCTGAGTTGGGGAAAGTCGAAAGTCTGCAGATGATGAGGAAATGTCGTTCTCCTTTTGAGCCTCTGAAACCTTTGTTCACGTTATCTCACACTGGAATACAAGTTCCATCCCAGACTTGAAATGAAGGAAAGTCACTTTTATCTGCTTAACATTAAATGCCCATTCTTACACAGGCTGTTTTATTCTCTCATTTAACATTTACATAACAATGAAAAGCAATTTCCACAATCACAAGGCCTGAGTTTGTATGTTCTTGAAATCAAACATTCTTTGTTTGATGATTGTAAGCTGCTTGATTCATGTTTTGTTCAAATTGGCTCAAAATCTTTCCTAACTTATTACAGGTTTAGTGCATTTACATTAAAACCAAATATGTAAAAGACATAACATGCTTCTGCCTCCAATATAGCGATTATCTATCAAACCCATTTCCGCTGCCAACGAGGTTCTGTTTGCACCTGATGCACGTTTTACAAACTATTGAGCAAGTTATCCATAGAAAATCTTCTAGTTACAAATTTAGTGCATTTGAAATTTCAATATTGTAATGTGGTCACAATTCAGGCCCTGCAGGCTCCTCTCAGACAAGATCAAGATCACCTGTGCAGCGCTGCTGTGTATCATAAATTCAGAACAAATAGCCAAAAAAGTTAAAACATCAGACATCTCAGCTTCAGGAGGATACAAATGAGTCACAACTGCCTGAATTTCGTTTCAAGTAACCATTTAGAGCAGGGGACTCCAACCTTTTCCAATCGAAGAGCTACTTTTATACAACAGAAGAGGCAGAGAGCTTATCCTTTTTGCTGTCATAAAAAAAAAAATCTCTGTAATAATTATGAAAAGAGAGAACACACATGGAGAGCACATGTGAAATATACAGTACTGTAATACTTTATAACCCTATATTCATACTGAATAATAGAAATGCAATGACTCAAAATGTATTAATTCACGATCTTGTGTTCAATTCTAAATCATTGGGGGAGCTAACTGAAAGAGGCTGGCGAGCTACTGGTAGCTCCTGAGCCACAAGTTGGAGACCCCTGATTTAGAGTATGTGTAAATCCGAAAAGCTGTGAAAAGTTGGTTTTGCAATGTCATTGAAACAAAACTGATACATGCGATCACGAGTCGAGGTTTAACTCCATATGTCGCCCATCTCTGCCATAGTAATAATGCGTTGTACTTATATAGTGCTTTATGGGACAATCAAAGACCCTTCACATGCCATTATTCCATCAACTAAGTGCACTGTAGTGGTTTTTCACAGTTTCTCTGCGGCAGACTGACACAAAGGGTATCATGGTGTGGACTTATAGTATCAACGTTGATTCATTTTGTTACCTCATCTGTTGGCTTTTTGAGTTCTCCGTCCCGTCCCGTTGATTGTTTGCCCCGCCCTAATGTGATTCCCCTGTGTCTGCCAGTACAGTTATGCCTCATGCCCATTTGTCGTCCATCCATTGTTAACCCCACGTCTGTTCCCATCTTGTTTTTCAGTTCAGAATTTTTGTGGATTTAGTTTTATTGACACACATACACACACACACACCACTCCAATGTGAGTGAAGTGTCTTTGTGAAGTGTCATCTTTCATGCAGATATAGCCTTGTACAGAGAAGGGCCAATTATTGAAATGTCAGTGTGAATCATGTCGAATTGATTGGAAATAAAACATAAAAATGCATATAAACTTTCTGTATTAGCACAGTCAAATATATTGTCATTCATACCTACCCCTAGTATCCAAGCTTCAGTTCATACCCAACTCTGTAGATTTCATTTAACTATTAACTACAAACAACCACAGGATAATCCCAGCTAATGCAGACCACCTCAGTCGTCTCACATTTCTACATCTATTCTTCTATTCAAGGATTTTGTCTGGAGAATTTGAGGTCACACAGTGTGGTGACAGCTGGCTCGTCTTGACTCCTGCCAGCTTCCTTATATAACGAAGCAACAGGAAGGTCTGGACAAGCCTCATATACACTGTCCAGGGCGAAGGATTCTGAACTGGTGCCAACACAACTATTTGTTATTAGGAGAGGGAACCCGGTCAGTCAGTCGTAGAACAATGATTATCGAAATGACTTAAAAATCAGGGACTGAAACGAGGGGAAAATTTACAAAAGTTTAGCAGATTGTGAGCAGTGCCTTCAGAATTATTTAGCTATTTATTTAATTGACAATACATAACATATTGTTTAAATAGTTGATGTCCCGTCACACAATTGAATTTTTTTTCCATGTCGTCTGCCCTTTTTTTCATCATTTATTAATCGTTTCATTATTTTTCATCATTGTTGCTTTGATTTGTTATGTGGATGATTACAGATTTGTTTACAGTTTTATTCGGCCCACAGAAATTCCCATGTGCTGCTGTGTGGTTCTGGAAGAGGGTATAGAACAATGTCCTTGTTGGATTTTATATTTTTTTATTGCTTATTTGGTTGGGACAGTGCATGTTAATGAACACACCTCTCCGGATTGTAGCCACTCAATCACTCTGAACTATTGTACATATTTTTAGCGGTAGGGGAAACCGGCGCAGACACGGGGAGAACATGCAAACTCCACTCAGAAAGGCCCTGTTCCGACCGGGACTCAAACCCAGAACCTTCTTGCTGAGAAGCGAGAGTGCTTTCCACTCAGCCACCGTGATTTGAGAGAGAAATGCTTTTAAACTGCATGATGTTGTGAATTAAAACATGTCACCTGCCGTATATATACGTCAAGAACTAAAATGGTCCATTATAATATTTATTAATGTAATAGTATTGTAATATTGTACTATAATAGTTATTGTAGTCTGCAACAGGCTTGCCCTACACTTTAGACCACAGTGAAACTATGAATCTATCCAATAAATGAAATTACAAAAAAATGTCTATTATAATTACTCAATTAATTGTAAAAAGAACATTTTCAACTGGAAACTGTTGAACAGGAAACAGAACTAACTCCTGCACAAATAATAACAATGACAGAGGGTATAACAAAGGTATATAACTGTGCATAAAGGTAAAATACAGTTTCTCATCAGGGATAAATACTCGCAGGTTGGGGATTTATGTTCTCTTTAATCAAGGACTTTGAAATAATATTACAGTACAGTTAAAATGATTCTGCTCCTTTTTCATTTGACTGGCTTTATGGTCTTAGAGCAGGGGAAATAAAATAGAGCATTTCACATTACTTTTTTGTACTAACTTATTCCCAGTGCAGCACTTTGGAAATAGGCGTATTTATAAAATGTGCTTAATAAATAGTGGGTTGAATTAGATAGGATTTAATATTATTTATTTATTTTTCAAAATTAATGAATTTGCAGTTAAAGGGGCATTATGCAGAGTGTTTGACTATTTTGGATCTCAAACAACACTCAGCACATTGCAGTTGCACGACACGTTTCCATGACGATATGGTAACAACACATCAGGATGAGTGCACCGTATCTTCACCCCCACAAATTACTTTGAGGGGGATTTTCTCTCCCAGTGTAGGTTTTTGAGGAAAATTGTTTACAACTCCAAGAACTTAAGTCTTAGTTGTGACTTTTGGCGACTTCAGATTTGAAAAAGACTATACTTTTTAGGTGTAAAAAGGTTGATAGATTACATATTTAATCCACAGAATACTAGATAAAAAATAAATAAAAATAAAGCAATAGCTGCAGGACTATTAGAGACCTTGTCTTCAATAACATGGTTCTTGTTCCCATCTCTTCCTCTGTCAGAGTGCGTATGCTACTAAAAACGACTAATTGCACACATACATCTGTCAGAAACAGATTTTTTCACTCCGCTCTGCTCTTATCCTAATCTGAATGACCCAAAAATCCAGGCCAGGCTGGGACAGCTTTTCAAATAGTCCTCTTAGCATAGCGACAGACCAACAGTGCCCATGAATACATATGTCATAAACACGTGTCAAAAGTCTTGCAGACAGCGGCAGGAGGAGGGAGCAGGGACAGAGGGAGCTGGACCCGGCATGCACCAGCCTCCACAAACACACACATGCAGCCAAACCGACTCACTGCAGAGTAGCCCACCAGCGCAGCACCCATCACAGTCACTGACGGGCAGGCAGACCCCTCCCCAACACCGTAAAAAAAAAAAAAACGTTCCTTCTACAACCCCAAATGCATCCATCAATAGCTGCAGACTCCGCACTCCATCAAACGGAGAGTCTACGGAGATGGACTGTCACTCGCAATACGCACAAATCATAGCATTAAAGAGGTAGCTATAGTTTTCTGTCCTCGAATAGCACATACTCAAAGCCATATCAGTAAAGTTTGATCGACTGACTGAAGTTTTACTACACTAGCATGCACACAACTTAACTTCATGCACACATGATCTTAAACGATGCGACTGAAATGACCATATATTCAACAACTCACAAACACGATAAAGTAAGAAGCACATAATTACGTTTGGACTCCTTCACGGTTTTCAAAGCAGACTGTAGTCTCTCCAGCATGGCTTTTTTTTGGCTTGCGAAAATTAACAGAAAGCAATAAAAACAAAACAAAATCAGGCTGCAGAGGGATGCTATATACAGTATTGCTCAAGACGGACTGACAGGTGAATTATCTCCCCAGCGGCTTGTCCCTCTGTTGCTCCTATGCGCAGCAAATGTTCAGTGTAGCATTTCTATCATCGGGCATTGAGGTGGGGGGGGGGTGGCATGGACGAAAGGGAGAGATAGAGCCAAAGAGGAGGGAGTGGGGAGGGGAGGCGAGGAGAGGGGCAGAGTTTAATCTTTTGAAAAAGCTAGACTAGATGCATTTACTGCAGCGTGGTGTGAGTGTGAGGGGCTGGAGCTGCAGGAGAGCAAGAACGAGCAGACAAGAAGTGGAGAAATGAGAATAATATACTAGGGCTAATGAACCGCTGTGTGACGTGTGGAGGAAATGCTATAATGCTAAATTAGTATGGACGAGGAGCGACGAAGGGTGATGGAGTCGATGGAGCTATGTGTCTTTGTACAGTGGGGATAGGTGAATACAGTGAAATATATAAGTTGGAGCTGAGCGGAGCATAAGAAAATGGAACTGCATTACCCTGGGACCGGGGCCACCGACATGATGTAATGGATCATACGAGTGCTGCATACAAGCACGCCTCCGAAAGCCTAATAAGATTTGTCACACGGGGCGTAAACTAGCATCATACTCCTGTCAGGTCCGAAGCAGAGACGGAGATACGACAGACGAGGTTAACGACACAGGAGTCCGCAAGCATGCATCAAAACAGAAAGTCGGAGTGTGAACGTGTCAAACTGAATCAAAATACTGTGTTTGAGAAATGGCACACAACAGGGAGTGAGGTCTATGTGAAAACTTAAAAAGGACCACAACAGTCCTGGTGGAGGCTTTGCTTTTTCCTTAGGTTCATATAAATGTTGTTGTTTAGAGATTTAAAACCCAGGGGGACAGGGCCTTTTCTATTCAATTCAATTCAATTTATTCTTGTATAACCCTAAATCACAACAGTCGCTATCTCGGAGGACTTAACCAAACGGTTGAATTCGTCAACACAGATCCGAGAATCAAACAGTTCAAACATAAGAAATGCAATGATAAAAAAATGACTCTTTATAGATACACCAAAGCGCTCAGCCCCTCATATTATTTTTAGAGTATTTTCATATATGGGCTTGTTCACACTAAAGGGCACAAAAGTGTGACAAAAGGCCAAAAATTTTATTTTAATAATCAGAAGATATTTTATGTTTTTCATGTTTCCAAACACCTAGTCTGTCCATTAGAAGTTGCTAGAACATAACTGTTTTATACATTAGACAAGTTTCCTATAGCGGCCCTGTTTATTTTATGTAACGGACGTGATGATTTGATGGAATGAGCTTTCCAGAAGTTTGTTACATATTTTTAGATGTCCACATTTGATTAAGAGATTCTATTTTTTTTACATAGAGTAGAAACAAATTGATACTTTCATATACTGTAGTCAACCAATTAAATGTGAAACCAGACCAGATTTTTTTTTTCTCAAGTTTAATTGTTAGAGAAAACCATCACGTCCGTTACGCCTTTTTCAAGGGTTATTTAATTTGTATTTATTTATGTTTTAAACGATTCCTTTTTAAATCAAGTGATTAACTTATGTTCTGTTAACTATGTAAATCTTGTGGGATTTCATCTGCCGCTTTTTCAGACTGAGGACATTTTATTTTCTATGTCACTGGCGTCACAGTAGAATGGTCAAATCAGTCGTTTAAAATGTCGCCAAAAATATATTTGTCAATCTTTCCTTTGATTTTATCCACACTATCTCTTCAATGTGTCTGTGTTTGAAATCTTTTTTTCTAATCTATGATAGTGATTTTAGTTTTTGAGTTATAACCTTTTAAAGTCCAGATACTTTAATTGACACTTTACTGTGAACACACTCATATGTGTATTTGATAATAAAGTTGGACTTTTGCAATAAAAAGTTCCTTAGTTATGACATTTTTTTCATTAACTATTAGTTAGTAACTTTTTCTGTTACAAACTGACCCGGCCCCCATCGAAGAAGGGAAAAGTTGTGTGGCCCTCACAAGAAAAAAGTTTGGGGACCCCTGGTTTAGGGGCTGTAAAACTAATTTTGAAATCCAAATATCTCGGCTGAACTACTGTTATCACTTAAAGAAGTTAAAGAAGTCCATGGTTTATTGATGCCTTTTGACCGATTAGGGCCATTTAATGCTGAAATGACGTGAAAATCTTACATATTGCTACTTTAAGTCTCGTCTTAAGACGACTTTTTTTATGTGTGCTTTATGTGTGCTTTAGTATTTTATTGTGCAGCACTCGGGAAACTCGAGATGTGTTTATGAAATGTGCTATAAAAATAAACTGTAAGGCATACTTTCCATTTACATCGGAAACAAACATGTGACTTCAACAGACACATTTACAAGTCATATCTGTGGAGAGGAAAACCTTCTCACTGCAAGAATTCATTGTTGAAGCACTAAATCCTGTAAAATGTGTCAAACCAATCACACGGTTTTGTCATTGTGTCATGTGTCATTTAAGGTCAAATATATGTGTTTTCTTTTGTCAAATTTGAATGACAACTGAAACTACCCAATATCCCTGAGTAGAAGTCTCTAACTTATCCCAAACCTCAAACCCTCAAGGAGGTAGTTGTGGATGAGGTTCTTTATCCTCTCTGATGGTAAAGCAGCCCATTCTTCTTAGCAAAAGCCTCCAGTTTCTGTAAATTCCTGCCCATTTGAGATCTCCCCACAGTGGCTCAAGGATGATAGAATTTGAAAAACATAAATATAGCTACAAACTACAAGTGGGAAAAGTGTATGAGTTATTATTAAGGACCTCCAAAACAATGAAATCTCTCCCAGGAGGGTGCAAACGCTGAAGCACAACTGTATCTATGGCAACAAGCAGGTAGTGGAAAACATCAGAACAACAACTACCACTTTTTGGGAATATTTTTATCACTGTTGATGCTGTTATGGAGAGTTCCTTATAGGGCTGTCAAAAGTCAAGAGTATTAGGTACTAAAGCTAGAATTGAATGACAAACACAAGACATAATCTAACATTTCTTGAAAGATTTGCAAACTATATCATAATAAACTAACTAGTAAAAAACCTTATGTCTGTATAAAAGAGTATCATTATTTTGAGTAAATAAATACTATTGACAGCATTGTTCAAAAAGTTCAAAATTTAAAAAGAATTGCTTGTATCAAATATCGAGCATTTTTTCTCGTATCGAAATCTCTTTTGTATCACTTATGAATAAACACAAAACAAACATACAAAAAGCTGCTGGATTTTTCTTGCTGATGTGGAAATGTCCTTTAAAGAGATAGAACTTCAAAGGGCAGTTTAATAAAAATAAGCCTCTGATGGAAAAACAATTTCCAAAGAAAGCTGCTGATGCACTCACGGTGACTCACTGGTGGCTAGTGGCCACAGTGACCACTTTAAAATGCAATTACCTAAAGGGAAGTCTGGCACAAGGACATCCAAATAAAGTCCTTTCGATGGGCAGGTAACCAAGTGGTTTGGCCATAAAACAGTCTTCAATGCAATACAATAAAAAGGCCTTTAGGAGCAGAACTTACCTTTGCCATTCTCCACGTCCTGTGAGGCAATGACAAACCCAAAGCCCTCTCCAGCTTTTCTCCTCAGCTCAACGTCAAAGCCTCGGAAAGGCCGCCCGGCTTCACCTGCTCTCCTCTCCAGCGAGAGGTCAGGCAGGGCCATGGCATCGTCCTCCAGGCCGGTGCTCAGCCAGTCTTTGGGCTCCATGGTCAGGGTCACGGGGATGGACTCCAGGAAACTGGTGCTCTGGATCAGGGAGGAGCGGGACGGGGCAGGAGAGGGAGGGGTGCTGTTACACCTCCGAGGCAAAGGCAGACAGTCTGGAAACACCGAGTGTTCAGAGCCCACAGGGAGAGGGGGGGGCCGCAGCAGAGGAGGGGGGAGTCTGCGAGAGGATATGGGCGAGTGGTAGATCCCTGTGGAGACAAGTGGAGGGCCATAATTCAATGAAGCTGTCAGCGAATGATTGTACAAATATATACAGTATATGAATCAAAAACCCACATTACATAGTTGTAGTAGTTGTAGTTTGAGCCAGGACTTTAATCAGTGACATACTTTAAAATAACTTTTGGCTGTTACTGGTTTGTTTTGCTAAAGCTGTAGGTATGAGTTTTAAAGCCAACTGACAAATATAAACTTGTGAAATCCCACTCAAACATACAGCATAGTAATAGTCTGTCACTGAGACTGCTATAATTCACCCACATATTATTAACTCAAATCATTTACCTCCACGATAAACCAGTAGGATCACTTCTCCCTGTTTGGTGTGTTCCTGAAGAATAGTTTGTATCTAAAAACACACAAATATAAATATGTTTATAACGTGATGAAATAACATAAATATGCATCATTTAATACACTTCAGTGCAAAATATGACAAAACTAAGTGCTTGAATTAGTGGCTGTATTTTATACTCGATTTAAGTTCACCGTACATACTTTAAAACCAGGACTCCCACAATTATAAAACTACGAGAACTCCCAGAGCCGTCATTTTGACTGCTCCTATTCTAACCAATGGATAAATTCCTCCCAAAAAGATGTAGATTGACGATTCATTAAGAATAAGTCATTTATACATTTATTTTTAATTCACTCACTTTTACTAAGTGCTAAAACCGGTTAATATCATTTGAATAAAAACATTTTGTTGAAAGGCTATTGCTTAAGACCAAATACTTACTGCTGACAATAAACAGTGTGTTGCTATGGTAACCAGCGTTCGCTCTTCTCTGGTGGAAAACCAACCTGAACCGGGACCAGCACTTTGACTGCCATCGCATGAAAGCAACCGAAAAACTTTGCAAATTTGTTAAAGGTAGAACTCCTCACATTTCAAAAATAAAAGGGAATTTCGACTTCGTATTTACCTTTTTGGCCAAAAAGGTAAATACTTTGAACAATTACACTTCCAAAACTAAACTTACTGCTCTGAGAGTTCTAGTGTTGAAATAGTTGATTTTTGATGTGTATTTTTTATACGCATTCTTCACTATTTCTTTCCCATGAATTTAAAAGCACTTTGCACTTTGATCTTGACCGTCATAATAAGATTAGAAAAGCTAAAATTCTCTATAACTTAATGACCATTCCATTGCCACACTGGACTAAAGCACATTTAACTTCAAGCACAGTAGTATTTTTATTCTCATTTGCAAAGTGTATATTAGGGGCGACAGTAGCTCAGTAGAGCATTGGCCTTTGAGCCAGAAGGTCGTGGGTTCGAGCCCACCACAAGACTTTGGCAGTCAGAAGCTGCACCCAATTCACAGAGCCCCTCACTGATCGTCCTGCAGGTGTTGGGTCCACAGGAGGATGTTGCTGTTCTTATTGGAGCAAAACATATCTATTGTGGTTCATTGTTAAATATTCTATTTAAATACATACCAAGTACCCATTAAAGCTAAATTCCATGCAACGTTTTTCTCTCCTTATGAGTTTGCTTCTATCACTAGCTTTCATATACATGTATTGGCGTCTGTCCAATCTTTAAAACAGCTTTTTCACAACCTTCTACTTTTCCAAGACTTGTTCTTGATGGGATAAACAAATAGTATTTATAATTAGATAACACAGCTTTAATTCGGACTATTACAGTATGGCCCAAATACAAACAATTATGTTATGTTATTATGTTATTTTATATATCTTTTAAGGGGATGAAACGTTTTATAATAAGTAGTAAATATTTGTTCACAACATTATACTTTAACAAGACTGTTTCTTGGGGCAGACATATGTATTATGCATGAAAAAAGTACTCCAACACTTTGTATTCATATTCTTTGTGTCTTGTCATACCTGTGCCACACTGAGGCTCTGCACGTCGGCTCCGTTTATTTTGACAATAGCGTCCCCCGGCTGAAGCGAGTTGCACTGCACCCTGTCAAGGATCCTCTTCACTATGGCCAGCCGTCCTCCCAGACCCCCCGCCATCATGCTAAACCCCAGCCCCCTCTCTGCCTCTGACCGCCCCAAGACCACAGGTACCAGCTCCCCCCTGGGTCTCCCATCCTGATCACTGCCCAGACTCATCCCCCCTGAGGACACACTGCTGGGGCTGGCAGATGAACTGGGCATGCTGTGGTACCCATTGATGTTGGGATAGTGGGGGCTGTCTGGAGTTGGGGGTCTCCTGGAGTGGGAGGGGCTGGGTTGTAGCAGGTGAGATGTCCGAGGCCCGCCCGGGGAGGACGATGGTCTCCGTGGAGACTGTTGCATAGGCAGGCGGGACAGGGTGCACGTGGATATGTCGCTCTCGGAGGACTTGTACGTGCCGTAGCGTAGAGGGGGAGGGGGCGTGGAGAGGGAGTTATTGTTGTGGTTGCGAATCATTGAAGCTCTAATGGGAAAGAGAAAATTAGATGAAGGAGATTTAGTATACAGGGTGTGCTGGTAAAGTTAATGAACAGTCATTACTGTAATATATGCAAGCAGGCGAGGCAGCTATGCAGACATGCAAAACACTTAAGCTAATATACTGAAACTGCTTCACACAAACTGTAAAGTACTGTAACTGACATACAATGTTTTGGTTTTACTCTGTATTCATGTGACATCACAAACTGTGGTGAAGTCAAAGTCAGACTTCTCTGTAATTTCAGGGCAATCCTCAACAGGAAAGAGCTCCACCTCTTCTATGTCAGCACATATCAACCATGGCCTAATTATTTGATCATCAAATTGTCAATAGAAATGAGGACAATATTAAAACACGGATGCATGATGTTGGCCGGTCAGACTTTCAGACATAAGAATAATATCGAACGTGTGAATATAGTCACTATGAAATAATCATTTGCTTTATCAACATTTCTTTCAAAAGTCAATGAAAGCATGATTTTGTGAGGCCAAGACCAACTGGCCTCTGACATAGCGTCATATGCCAGAAAGTCAAATAGATGTCAAAACTTCAACACTTGGCTAAGAACGGAAGAAGAGCTGGATCTTCCGCCATTGGGAAAAAAAAGACAGTCCTGTTAAATAAAACATAAACAGACACTTTATAAACCCTGTACAATGATTGTATTACACAGATGCTTTCCACACATGAAAGACTTCCTCCAACTCTGTCTCCATTCTGATAATCTTTGCATCATTGATTCTTTGCCGATGCTGCTCTGTCCATCTTCTATATTACAGGCCAACTGATTGTGAGCGTTTCAGGTTAATTCAGTGATTAAGTAGACCAGTGACTGTAATCTATGTACAATGGTGATCATGTCTATGGCTGGGTTTAGTGGGACTTGTGATGTGATTTTAAAGTAGCTCAAAACTATTACTATTACAATCAATTAAAATAGTTTATTGCTATAGTTTGGAAATGAGTCAACAAACTTCTCATATTAGTCTTTCAGCTTGAGGTCCTTTTAACTGGCAACAATCACATTTCTGGTGTTCAACAATGGCACCGTTTTGAAAAGCCATTTACAGAAAAACACATTTAAGCAGAAAAATCACACTTTTGTACTTTTTTGTGAGAGGCCCAGTCAGTTCAGACGGATTAAAAAGAGCAACACATCCTCAATCTAACAGTTAAACAGTAAATTATCCATTGTGCAGTGGATTATTCCACTAATAAAGATCATTTGTAGGCGTTTTGTTTTCATGAAGATGTTACTTTGAAAGAATTCATCAACAGTGCTTTCTTGGCTGCTGGTTAATGGCAACATGATGAGAATATTACAGCATTCAAAAGACATTTTTATAATTTTTTCAGACTCTAGCAACAGTCATCCTGAAGGATAGAAAAGGATTTGTTGTGTGTGTGAAATGTAAATTACAACATCAACGAAAAACAGGATTCACTGCTGGGTCAATACTGTTAATTAGTTTACATTTCTGTTAAACTAACAGCAAGCTTTGATTTTGAAAAATGATAAAAAAATTAAATCTGAGGTACCTAATTTAACTATACAGGATATGTATGCAATACAAATTAATGTTCCTCATATGATTCCTCTCTCTTCATAATGTAATTTAATAATATGACGGACAAGAATCGCAATATATCACAGAACCGCATCACAATACTACAATATAATCGACACAATTTTGCCAACTCCCACCTCCATTACCTGTGTGAGCCAATGGCAGACACCACCTCGCTGTCACTCTGACTGGCCAGGGTGGGGTCAAAGGACTGCAGACGGGCCAGACTCCTCACAGAGCGGGGGGGCCGCGGGGGCGAGGAGTGCACCGCGTTGCTCATACTGGACCGTCTGTACGCGTGACTGTAATACGCAGCGTTCCCGTTGGCGTCCAGAGGCTCCATGTAACCGGCCTCGCTGTGCAGGCCGTTAAAGGTGAAGTGTTGCGGGGTGTGGGGGCGGGAGAGGTGGTGGTTGAGGGGCTGAGGCTGCATGGTGGTGGGGGGTACGATGAAGTCGCCGTTGTCCATCATCCTGGGGGCGGGTTGTTTGGGGCAGCCGTCCGGGTTGTAGAGCATGGGGTAACCGCGGCGCACCTCCACGTCCACAGTGTGACCCACAGGCACCGACTTGAGGAGCTCCACCACCTCCTTATGGGACACGCCCAGCACACACACGTCATTGAGGTAAACCAGGATGTCCGCTGCGGAGAGGGAGACATGTGACATCACTGACACGTGTAGATCAACAGGAAGTAGTTCCAATATAACATCACAGCAGGAAGAAGTATCATGCACGGCTAAAAATGACAGGAATAAGTAGATTTTTACTTTAATCAGGTAACATCCATGTTGATTTGAGAATAACTTTATTTATTGTGTGTGTGTGTGTGTGTATCGGTCACTGTTATTGCTGGATATTATCACAGAAGGGTTAGGAAATATAGTTCATGTTGTTTGTAACAGTTGTAACTGTGTGAGGACAGCCTTTTTTGTTTGAGAATAACTTGACTTGCTGACCAAACAAGCAATATTATAAGAAGTTAATGCAATTTTTATTTATATACTGTAGTACATTTCACAGACTGAGGTCACTCAAAGCATCAGTAATTTCCATTCACTCCACACACAGTGAATGACAGAAGTGATTAGGTCTCACTCATTACAAGCAGACCTATTGAACATGTTTTTAGTGGTGGGGGAAACAGGAGCACCTGGAGGAAACCTACACAGACACTGAAGGTGAACCCTGCACCTTCTTACAACATTAATCTTAGTTTAAGTGTTTTCCTCAAGACACCATTTTTTGCTTGATCCATTGGAAAATCTTGATCTAACAGAGTGAAAATCCATTCAAATCAGGACATTCTATTGTTATAAATATTTCTCAATTTCATTTGGAGTGTGCTTTGAGTGTTTGTACATATTTCAGAGCAAATTTCATGGAGTCAACATCCTGGATCAAACACTGACCCATTTTCTACCATGGATCATTCCTGTATGAATGAGGGAAATACTACTGCTGACTGTGTGCCATTTAGCTTCACTGCACAATATGTAGTAACAGTAATACTATTCTGTAGTAAAAGTAATACTTTGTACAGTATCATTATGTTTCCAACTCATTTCATCTGCTGTTTATTCTATTGGACAGCATTTGATATATTGGACATATTACACTATAGATACAGTACATATGGTTATTGTTGTGAATGTGTGTAGCCTTCTATTGATAATTTTACATAATGGACTTATCTCTAAATGGTTTTTATAATTGTATAGGTCAGTGTTTTTCAACCAGTGGCATGTTTGCGTACCTTGAGACTTTGCTTGGTGTGCCTTTGGAAATTATCCTTATCATACAGTATAATGATAAGAAAATACTGTGAAAATGTTGTGAATTTTTGGCGCTGGTTTGATTTTCTATATGATAAACTTTGATGATTATTGAATTGCTTTCTTATTAAAGGCTGCAGAGTTTCATTTTTTCATCCGTTTTAGCTGGTCGTGTGCCATGAGGTTTTTTTTTCAATGTAAAATATGTCCCATGTTTTACACAAGCAAAAGTGCATTGACAATCGCTTTCCTTTATGTCCACTCTCCAACATACACATATCTCTGTACATAAACAGGTACCGTCCACATACCACAACTACCCACACGGGTTCACTCTGCCACCCACTCACACATCTGCAGAGAAAACATTGGCTTCAGTTCACATAAGCAGGCTGTAATGTCGGGCTGCAAATGAGCTGTTGTATCTCGAGGCCTGAGGACAGAAAGGGTCTTTACATTCCCTCCATGTCAAGGCGCTTCGTTGTGTTGAGATCAATTATCGTTTCTTTTCTCGTTTAAATGTTCTATTGCATGAAGAGACTTTGTATATCATTAAAAACACACATTACTCAATATGTTTGTATCCAATACGATGACATAAACATACAGTATTCCTGAGCTGGTTTTCGCCTGCATTTAACCTTATGTCTCTCTGTATTTGTGTGTATGTGTGTGTGTGTGTGTGTGTGTGCGCGTGTGTGTGCATGTGTGTGCGTGTGTGTGTGTGTGTGTGTGCGTGTGTGTGTATTTGTGTTTGTGTAAAAAATGTATGACTGGGACAATTGTCTGTTTTTTGGAGTCTGTTGGGTTGATGGGTTTTAGTCGATCGACCCAAAACGATCAACAAAAAATTGATTAATTGATTTTTATACTTATACATACACATAGCTTTAGGTAAATGCATATACACCTATTGTGATGTGAAACCTACGCCCAAATATCCACACACACACAGATGAATACATTCACTCCATCTACTAGGCACGTACATAGGCAAACTAAATAAGTTAACATTATTTTATGAGAACTACATTTATCGGTTTTTCTTCACTCACTGCACAAACAAAATAAACCCAACAAAAAATGATACCAAATTAAGCCTTCTGCATCATTTATAATAGTTTGTTAATTAAGAAATGTGGCACTTTTTACTTTTCAAAGGTTTTATCTATTGCTTGAGTGTGCTGATAAGTGAAATTGTGTGTGTTTTGTGCGAGTGTCTACAAATCCAGAGCACTAATCCTTCTAAAGCAGCCTATTAGCAGATACGAAGTGGATCAGCCGGTGCCCTGCTTATCGTGGTAATATCTGCAGCCCCAGCGCCCGTGTGTGCGTACGTGGCCGGGATATGTACTTTCCCATATGCGCTTTGATAGCTGGATTAGCAAGACCGCTGAGGATTAGGAATTGATTGTGATTGTAAAACTTGATGCAGGAACCAGGATAAACTCAAACAAGTACAATATTTACAAGGTGTGGAAAACATGCAACAACAAAGAAGTACTGTATAGTTAATTTTGTATGGTTTAAAATGTTAAAAAGTCTGACGTGATGCCTGATGCTCCACGGGGAATAGTGTCATTGCACATCCACTCCAGCAGGTGGCCGCTAAAACAATGCCAATAAAGTGATTCATTGTTGGAAGTCGATCTACATTTTAGTTTATATAATGTTAGATAGCTTTTAATGGCAAGACTATTTGATAGAAAAATCATTGTCTTCATAGGTGGGATGCAGAGTGAAGGGAGGTCTGGCAGAAAAGAATTGCTGTGAGGTGTAATATGAAATCAACAAGCATCAAATTCAAGTGAAGGAAAAAGACGAGCAAATGAATCCAACTGGAGATTTACAGCTTCGTAACTTTCCAATCCAAATCTTTTGTTCGATAACATAAAGATGAGTTGAAACAAAACTGTTTGTCAGATTGATTAAAAACAATTTCTTAAGTGATATTTTTTCCTTACCATTCTACAGTCATTTCATCTCTCCGCCTCTTTAAAATAAAAAAACGCCTCTTTTAACTATTTCAATCATTTATCATTGAGATAGTAGTTTGGCATTTGTTTATGAACTGTGCAATACAAATAAACCTGCCGTGCCTAGTTTTGTAAAAGTATGACAAAGGTAAGGTGCGCTTTATTTATGTTTTTCCCAACAGTATGATTCTTGCGCAGGTAGAAACCTTTCAGGACAACAAAAAGAAACAGTCGCTATTTTCTTGAGGCTGACATCAGATTGTAGTCTTCTTCTCACTTTTCTGTCTGAAAAGCTGATCTGGATGTGAAACTAGTTTTAGGAGCCAGTGACATGGATTACATTATATAGTTCAATTTTAGTGGTGTAAAAGTTACATACCCCAGCCTCAAGTTCCCAAACACTGAGACTTCATTTAAATTCACAAAGCAGTTTCGCGGGCCTTATTACTTCATTAAATTTTTACCTGTTTTGAGAGCGGACGGGCCGATGGACGTGACGCTGTAGACCTGTAGGAACTCTCCTGCTCGGCTGCCACCCACGATATTAAAACCAAAGCCCCTGGTGCCCTTCAGGATGTGAGTGTGCACTGGGAACCCTCTGAGCTCTGAAGGCTGCTCTGTGAACCCTGGACCCAACACGTACACAATTATACACAGTTATAAGCTTTTCAAGGAATCAAAACCAGCCCAATCTTTTCAGGAAAAGCCACGTCACGGGCAACAGACAGCTGGCGGAGTTATTACTTGACAAAAATAAACAGGCAGTGATTGGCTGAACGGCTGCACTAAAAGGAAATCCACTAATATCTTCAAAATCTAATCCAACTGTTTGACCCAACACAGTTACGCAAGATACAGTGTTTCTAGAAGCACTCAAGACAATATTTTAATTCATTTTGTGTAAATTGCTTCACCCAAAACACAACACAACTTCTTACCTATTTTCTGATAACATTTCCCCTCAAACTACTACTACACATTGCAAAACATAGATGACAGTGCCTTCAACTGGTGACACAAGTGTACTGCAGGTTTCAAAGACAACCACATAGTTCCAGTGCAGCAGATGGCTTTCTGAATTTTCCATCCGTCATGTCAGATTAACATATAAACATATCATAACCTACTGCTCCCATAAATCCTTTTTATTATGTGACTGAATTATCAAACCGCTGCCCCCTGTCAGCATCACGTGGCCAGTGCATACGGCAGTGCCAGCCCCCGCGATATGTTGGCATTCTCCCAACCGCTGGGAGATTTAGTCCTTAATCACGCTGCTGTTCATCTAAACGCTTATTCCATTTCATTTGAGTCTAACAAGCTGGCTGGGCGCGTAACTTCCTTGATAAATATAGAGGCTCTATTAGGTGGCAAAGCGGTTAAATGTGTCACAAGTGTTTCAGTAATTACATCTGCAGAGCCACAGTGGGACGAGGGGGCTCACTCACATTCGTTTCTGTAGACCGTCTCTCGGCTTGGCGCTCGAGGACTCTGCCAGCTGCTCCTTTTTGGGATGCTGCTTTGAGAGACAAGAGGGAGAAAAGTCACGCACTTCACAGACATAATGGCAACGGGAGATTATATTGCACTGGTATAGAATGCACAATACTGATCGGGCTGGCTGTTATAAATAGTTTTGACACGTGGCGTGCGGCTCATCTGTATTCCAACTACAGTAGTAATACAATAAAACGTGTTGTAACTACATAATGTGGACGGCCTTTAAAGTAATATTGAGGTAAAACTTCAATTGTATTTTTTACCATATGACCCTGCAGTATCATTTAAATTAAGTATTTTTCCTAATAAACATATTTATTCCCTTCCTTTTATGGGGGGACCATTGGTGGATCAAGGATTTGGAATCATTGCATTCTATTAGGAACCTGTGGGGACTCTTCTAATTGGCGCTCGCATTCAAAAAACGTCTCTCCGTCTTCAAAAGTTACTGTCCTTCACTTTATTATGATCACCCTACGGTTTAAAACAAAGGTCTCCTATCACTCAGGAGCTAAAAATAGCTCATCACACCCTTTCAGGGAACACCCCATGGTGAGACATTGCATTTATATTATCACCATAAATATTGACTTTACATTGACTCCAGTTCTCAGGTCTTTGCACTGGCTTCCTGTGGCTCAGAGAATAGACTTTAAAACAGCTCTGTTTGTTACGAATCTCTCCATGGCCTCGCACCAAACTACATCTGTGACATGTAAGTGCCAAATGAACACACTCGGACTCTGAGGAGCACAGGGACTGCCCTCCTGCTGGTGCCCAGAGTCAGGACTAAAGGGGGAGTATGAAGTCAATTTGTCTTGTAAACGATCACCATGTGTTTCATTATGTTTTTTAAAGATAATTTATTGTATACAATTACTTTTTTAATAGTGAAAAGAATAAAAAGACACCCCTTACAGATCTGAGCACAAACATGGACTTATTCTCAGTGAACCAGGACCAATATAGTACTGGTAACTTATTGGTCTTGGTTCACTTCAAAAGCAAATGCAACATGACGTCATTGACCTGTTTCAAATGAAGTGAGTTAATTTAAGGTGATTAATAATTAATAAATGGACCTGGCGGCAGCGCCTTGGTGCATTCACATCTAAACAAGCAAAGTGTAACGGTCTGACAGTTCTCAGACTGTGGTGTTCAAAACAGTATCACATCAAAATTAGATTTTGTAATTTCTCCAGTCAAATTATGTTCTTTACAAGTGTGTGGCTTTAATTTGGCCGTCTCTGCTTAGACTGCTGCCCAACTCGGCAATGGATGAATCGGAAGACAATGGATAGATGGATGAACATGTGTGACTTCAATTTCACGTTAAATGTTAAAAACACAGAATGTCAGCGTAAACTCAAATGTTGGTTTTGCTCATCCGGATCATCTCTGTAATATATTCTACAGAACAACGGAGGTAGTTTTCTTTTCAAGTTGTTCTTCCCAACAGGAAAAAGTAAGTAAGGTTTATGAATGAAACCACACAGTCTTATGTCAAACATTTTTTCCAATAATTTGGAAAACTGTGGCAGAAGGACATAGGCCGATAATTATTGAAGCTATGTTAATTTCCTGTTTTGAATATCGGGATGACTTTTGCCCACTTCATTTGGGAGAGGAAGTCGCCAAGATGCAGATGTGTGTAAATGGTTTAATAACAACCGTTGTAGATAACTACTGTTGTGATTTAGGGCTATACAAAGAAACATTGAACTGAATAGAAGTTGTGAGCATGTGTGTAGGAGGACTTACTCATTGTAGCTGGACTTCCCGGGGTCGCTGAAGGCCTGGTCCCAGTGGTCCAGCATCACGCCCCGGTAGCTGCCCCCTCTGCGGCTGCTCCTCAGGCCGTTGTAGTTGTACGTGATGTGTGCGTCTGTGTCTGCACTGGACGCTCTCCGCCGACTGGGAGATCTGTGGTTGAATGGAGCGCTGCTGCTGACGCCTGCTACAGTGGACAAACAAGCTTCCATTAAAAACAGTCAGAGACACGCTATAGGGCGGAACATAATGTATGTTTTAATAATTGTCTGATAAAAGGGGTTTAAACATGTTCAAAGTTGCTAAACAAAGAAAACTAACATACATTTCGGCAAAACTAGAGGACTAGGATAATAGACAAAAATGTGATAATAATAGGACGGTATTTGTGAAACTGTGCCGAATGAAAGTGCAAAAATAGATTAGGATTAAGAGATCCTTCGTCCACAAAGGGGAAATTTCAGTGTTGCATCACCAGTTAAAGGACAGTAGTAATGCGGAGCACACAGCACAAGATATGTGAACAATCACTATATACTAAAATAAAGTAAAATCTCTGCCTTTAGCATAAAAAGAGTATAGAACACTGTATATTCTACTGCAAGAAATTTAAACAAAGAAAACTCACATGAATTTGTCCAAACTACAGGACTAGAAGAATAAACAATAATATGGCAATAACAAGGCGGTAATTTGTGTTTATTGATTAACCCTAACCCTAACCCTAACTCTAACCCTTTTTATTACATTTTAACCTATATCCACATTCTTAAATGATGAACTATGTACTTGACATTAAAATGTTGCATATACTTTTCACATTTTCCAATCAATGTTTCCATAATTGCAAGTCTTGGCCTTTTGCTTTAATTACGACCATTCAAATGTTGATTTTGATTTGTTTCAGTGTTTATGGCTGCTTCAGTAAATGCTCGGCAGGTGTAACTTTAAAATGCTGTAATATTGCATAGTTGTAAAGTCCTTCGAGGGACTGCTGTTGTGATTTAGGCTATACAAAAATAAATGGAATTGAAGTCTACGCCACAAAAGCATCTCTACAATTTAAGAGTTAAATAAATAGCTACTTGACACAACATTGAGCCTTGGGTCCCTTCATCTTGACTGCGGCTGACACCACAATAACCAGACTCCTCTGTCTTTGTAAACTTGATTCTTTCAAGAACAAAGATGGCGTTCAGACATACAGCGGCGTGTGGATGTGCTTATAGTGGCAGGTCTTTGAAGAAGGATGAAGTCGTGTAAAAGGCCTGAGATAAGCATCTTCAGGCACTTTGTCTGCTGTCTGCGTGTGGCGGCGCATAACTGTAGAGACTGCAATAAGTACACACAAGCTACGAGCAGATTCTCATTATCATGCAGCGTATTTGACCCTTAATTACTTTCATGTAAAACAATCGACCAACACATGTTTTTTTTCTTGTGTTATGTGCAAAAGCTCATGTTGTGAAATTGACCTATTATAAAACATTCTAAACTAAAAGTTGCCTCTAACCAAATTACTTTAGTGCAGAGAACACAGCAGTTTTTATCGGGCTACTGTCCTTGTGAAAGTCCTTCAGCGTGAATCTAAACAAACAGCTGAAAATACAGTGGGGCGTCCTATGACAAAAAAAGTGCCACAGATCCCATCCATCAGTTTGGAGGACTAGCCTCACTGTACGCTGTAAAATACATTACTTCAAAAACCAAGAGAACCAGATGAAATGCAATGTTGAGACGAGAAGCAAAACCAGACACTTAAGAATAAAGACATCATAATACACGTGGAAAAAGTACAATTTTAGAATGGCCATAGTCTATATCAGAGCTAATACCACACTATACCTAATACTATACTACATTCCTAGTATAGTAATCGTATAGTATTAGTATATGCCTAATAATATACTACATATCAGTGGCTCTTTCTACTTTCTAATGGAGTGAGTTTGATTCATAATTATTGACGATCTGATCTCAGCATGTTTTTTATTAGGATGTTTTCTTATTTTCAATTTTTATCTTAATGACGGAGGTGTGAGTGCGGCTGTGTAGCTACAAATGAGTTACCATGATGATTAATACAGTTCCCTTGAATCTGAAAATAAATGTAGTTTGACATGTTGGCAATGTAGACAACACTCTTGGTAAATGGTCAGTTTAAACTAAGACATTTTGGACAAACAGCATTTGACATTTGGAAACCAATAAAACCATGTTGTAAATACAGACAAATACATTACATTTTCAAAGGTTAACTTCAAACATCTTGCACACGTATTGAAGCTGTTTTTGTTGATTCCACAGTGTCAATAGTTTCCTGCACTCTTTTTGTTTGTTTGTCTTATTCTTGTTTTTAACCTTGTGTATTTATGTACTTGTCTGGTGCACACTGGGGACTTTTGCAAATATATTCCAATGTGGTTTTACTGCAAATGGCAAAAAAATGAATCTGAATCTGAATCTGAAACTGATTCCAGGCCACTTTTGCCTAATCTATTGTGTTGCAGTGAGGGCTCATACCTGCATGCTTGTTGGGACTGTAACTATCTGGACGTGTGCCCGCTCCTCCACTGCATGAAAAGTGTGATTTTCGTCTCTTTTCGGCCCTGTATATTACTGTGAAACTTCTGGGATTCGGCAGTTTGTTGTCCCCTCCTCCCTCCTCCACAGGAGGCTTTAACATGTAAATGGCAATGCTGTGAGCTATACAAATGCTAATCAGGGTTGAGGGGGAGCACACCGTAGACCCGGATTTTGTAAATGCTCAAACACACACACACACACACAAACACACACATTTGATCATGATTGATTATAGCTTGTCATGTAAAAATCAATTAAATAAATCTAATAGGACAAAAGACATGTTGAAAGTGTAAGTGCTCATCTCATGTATGTACAGTACAGACCAAAAGTTTGGATTTTTTATTTTTATTCATGACATGAAAGATGTGTTCTATTCTCGGTTCAAATTATATAAATATATATATATATATATATATATATATATATATATATATATATATATATATATATATATATATATATACTAGGGCTGTCAAACGATTCATTTTTTTTAGTTGATTAATTGCAGCCCGTGCAAAGCTTGCACTCACTCACAGCCGCTAACAACAACCAGAGCGGCCACGGAGCAGGCCATCTCACACGCAGCATTCTGAGTGATATTCTTATGGATAAATGGGCGGGTATTTAAAAAAAATAACGCGTTAATAAAAAATGTAATTAACGTGAGTCAAAACAATAATTTTGACATGTGCATTGCGTAAGTTAAAAAATGCCATAATGCAATATTTTGCATCTGTGGTCCATCAGCAGTTGCCTGGTGTGTAAACTGAGCATTAGCAGATTCCAGTGGCGGCCGGCCAATAGAGGGCGCTAGGGCGCCGCCCCACCACTCACAACTTGCCATGTTACCTTGAATAAAACGTTAAAAAAAATAATAACATTAAAATATTTCGAAATGTATGTGTGTTTTATTTCAGATGTGGAAGAAATACTTTATAGTTTATGCTGAGTTGGATTGATTAAGCTCATCAGCGTTGTCTGTGTCGGACTGAGGACGTATTTCCGCCTCAGGGCGCAAAAGATTGCGCCCTGAGCCGTCTATGGACTCTCGTTAAAAGTTGTACATGCGCAGTAGCTCCTCTTCAATGCAAGAGATAAGACGATTTGGGGGCGCAGGAGAAGTGCGCCCTGAGGGGGCGGGATCGCCCGCGACCTGTACTGTCACTGTCTGTGACGTCCGTTTACAGTGATTGACAGGTCAAGCTGTGGGAGTTTGAGACAAACGTAAAGAGACGCAAAATGGAGAACGAGAAAAAGAATAATTCAGTTAGATCACTCAAAACAATACCGTTTGAGAGAAGATCATACCAGGAGAAGGTTGAGGTTAAAGAGCTTGGACCTGATCAGCCAAATATTACCATTAGTCAGCAGTCCAGGACCTGGTTCAGCGCCAAATCTTGGCTAGCAGCATGTAGCGAGGCTAATGCTTTATTTTGCTTTCCATGCCTCTTGTTTCAAACATCAGGATCTGACCCAGCATGGATCAAGACAGGTATGACTGATCTGAAGCACTTTTTAGAAAAGGCAAAGAAGCATGAGCAGACTGGGTATCCACATGCAAAATTCCCTCAAATTAGCTATGTTTGGGAAGATAAATATTTCATCCCAGCTGGATGAAAGCTACAGGGTAGGGATCAGAAAGCACAATGAGGAGGTTGACAAGAATAGGCACATCCTATCAAAAATAATAGACTGTGTCAAATTCTGTGGTGCATTTATATCTAGTCATCATATTCATAGCCCCCCCAGTAGAAAATTCCACCAGCCGCCACTGGCAGATTCACTGTGGTTGCTTCTGTGAGCGCATACAGTGATTGAGAAATCCCTGACTCTGGTCGCTTTCTCGCGCGCTGTTTAAGCGGAAGTGACGCAATGCGCGTGCCCGTTCACTGTTTTGGCTCCATATGTTCCCTCGCGTTCAGTGGATCTGTCCCGTCTCCGTATCACGCGTATTTGAAGATGGATCCAGCAGTTTCTCTAAGAGACCAGCTTCAGAATCACCGTCTGGAACTCCACGCCAAGCGAAGAGAAAAAAGATTGTCACTAGTGCTACGAAAAGAGCGAAGCGAGAGGCCGACCGGCGGAGAGCTCAGACCCGAGTCGCTCTCGCCCATGCGTTTGAGAAATGGAGAAGTCTCCGAAACGCTCTGGGGATAAAAAATGATCCTCATTTGGCGTTTATCTTGATTAGAAGGTAAGACGGTGACTCAGTTCTAAACGTCCTAGTGTCTTCGAATACGAAGAGATATAGCATTATTGTGTGTTAGCTTTTTGACTTAGCAACATGGACTGATTCCATTTGGTTCGGTTTTTTTCTGAACAGTAACAGATTGGCGAGACACATTCAGCATTTTTTTTGTTCTGTATGAAGAATGTCTAGAAATAATGACTGTTACGTTGATTAGTGCTTTTGAATGAACGTTAGCATCTGTTAGCTTAGTACAGCTGTGTACATTATTGGGCTGCTACTGTGCATGTAAACCATTATGAAACTTGCAGATGCAGTGATTACCTGTACTATATGTATCGTAGAATTGCAGACTATATTAGTAATATAATGTGGTTAGTCCAACTGTAATACAATGAGATGCATGTGTGTATAGGTAACGTCTATTTATTTACTTTATAGCTATGAAAAAATTATGGCATCAAGGAGTCCCAAGGCCTCAACTCCTAAAACCACTACTGCGACTGGTGATCTCCCGAGTTCAATCAGTCCCGTAGAATCTGACCGGTACTTTTTTTTCCCAGAAAAATGGGATTGGCATTATGTTTGATTCAAGCCTTATTGACAATTTCACTGAAACAAACTGTATTTTTTAACAGGGATGACTTATCTGTGGCAGGGGTGCAGCCTTTTATAGAGGAGAAAGAGCTGGAGGTTTTGGAGAAAAGGTAGACATGCATTCACATTAAGATGTACATTGTATTCTCATTTCTAGGTCGTTTATTTATATGATTTATTGTTTTTTGTAGACATTCAGATCTTTGGTTAAACGAAAAACGGGCAAACAATCTAGAAGACAGTGTGTAAGTTACTTAACATGTTTAAAAAGAAATATTTTGTTGATTGTTTTAAAATATGACCTGTTTACTTTCACAGGATTGAGTTTGATGAAGATTTGGCCTCAGATCCATTAGATTTGGAATATGTCCCACCTATATCTTTGAGGTTTTTTTTATTAAATGTTCTGTCCTGAAAATAATGGAAGTCCTTCCCTAATTGTTTTTTGAAAAAGCATCAAATTGTTCTTGTTTTCAGTGCTGGTGTTGCAATTCAAAGAGAAGTTGACAATCTTCCCATCCTCGGCATAGAAGAAGCTGTGTTGGACATCTGTGACCCAGAAAATCCCGGAGAACCAGAGGACTTTGAGGATCAGTCTGAGCAGGACATATCAACATTCCCAAAGCCAATTCGTGTGGTTGCTGAAACTGACCTAGTGCACCAACAAGCATGCATAGCGTATACTATTAGCTTGCTGCAAATGGCTAATTTTCTGCAACTGCCCATCAACAAATGCCATTACAGCGATCCGGTTTCTGGTATTGAGTGTGACGGTCGGCCTCCATTTTCGGTTCAATCACGTTCTAGGGGCACATCAATCATATTGGAATGGGTGAGTGAATGCTGAAATTAGAGATTGGTATTTAGGGTAGGCAAAATGTGTAGTTATACATTTAGTAAAAGTTATTTGTTTCTTTCTCCATAGTTCTGCTCTTATGGACACAAGTTATGGATGTGGAACAGTCAACCTGTACTTCGACATGGGATGCAAGGAGGCGATTTTATGTTATCTGCCAACTTATTACTGAGTGGTAATAATTTTGCTAAGATTGCCCTCCTCTTCAAATTTATGAATATGAAGATGGTTTCAACGACAACTTATTACAAAATTCAACACTCCTACTGCGTACCTGAAATAAAGGCATTTTGGGAGCAGAAGAGGTTGTCTATTGTAACTCGATTAAAGTCAAAAGATGGCATTGTGGCCCTTGGTAAGTAATGTGTTAAAGGACAATCTTTGTCGTATTTGCAGTCACTATAAGTACTATATCTGTTACAGCTGACGGGAGAATGGACTCACCAGGTAAGTCTGAAGCCTTTCACTTCACAACATAGTTATTGTGTATTACTTTGTGTTTCACCATATTTGATTCAACAAGGTCATTCTGCAACGTTTTGCACATACACAACGATGGAACTTGACACTATCAGTGTTGTCAATGTTGATAAAAGGCAAGTTGGTGGAAAAAGTGTCTCTATGGAGAAGGCAGCGTTCATCAAAACATTTGATGATCTCACGAAAGAATTAAAAGTCAAAGATTGTGACTGATGCCCATGTGCAAATTGCAGCCCTCATGCGTAAGTATTTTTGTCTGTATTATTTGATGTGCTATATTTTGTGCTTACTGCATTTTTGAGCTTTATAATAGATCCAGAACGGGGAAGATATATGTATCATGGAGTTACCCATTCCCTGGATGTCTGGCATGCTGAAAAAAATCTAACTAAGAGGCTTCAATTATTTTTTATAGACATAACCAAAACTAATAACTTTGATAGGCGGGTGTCCTAGCAGGTCAAAAACAAATCCTTGGGTGGATCAAGGACATTGTTAACCATTTTTGGTATGCCTGTCAGCATGCAAGCAGCCGAGAAGAGTTCATGGTAAGTAAAGTAGAACTAGAATTTATCTTCTCATTTTCACTATACCTTTTCAGTTTCTTATGTTTGCTTATTAGGACATTTGGCGAAGTGTACTGCACCATGTTAGTGGCGTGCATGAGTGGGACCTGGGTAGATGCCTTCATGGTCCTTTGGGGGATGATGGCACTAAAGAGCCTGTACCAACTGGCTCTAAAGCACATGTGGCACTGTCACAGATCGTGCTGAACCGCAGATGGCTGAGTTCCTCACATTTCGGTAAGAGATCAGTTTGTTTTTTTGAATGATTTGTGTTTCTTCTATTTCCTACTTACTTTCCCTGTAGGACCACCTCACAGCTGGAATCATTCCAAAACCATATTCTGATGTATGCCGGAAAGCGGTTTGCTTTTTCATTTTTTGATTATGAAGCAAGAACACTTCTCGCAGCTTTGGACTACAATCACCACAACAGCCGTCCGGCACATGTGAACAGCAAAGGCCAAGTGTCGTAAGTATCATTCACTACTTCCTATTGACAAGTCATAAATATAGTTGTCTTCTAACGTGAAATTACTTATCTTGTAGCCTAAAGAGACTGTACAGCAAAAAATCGAAACGGTATCGGGTACACACTGTCAAAGAAGCAAAGGATTACAACTACATTCCTGACCTTCAGACACAAATCATTGGCAGACGACTTCAGTCTGCTGGTGGCCTCCCAACCAGACGGAGTATCATACCGGAGGACCCACGAGCACTTTGACCAGTATATACACAAACGGTTGTTGGTGTTATCATCACTCTCTTTACACAACCAAAACATATATGTGATATATATATCACATATATATGTGATTGCTCCGTGTGTGATAACTTTCTGTAAAGCATGGAACTGCTGCAGGAGCAGGGACGAGGCGCACAGAGCAGACTGCTTTGAAAGAACCGAAGGAAAAGCAGTTTGGGCTCATGGCAGAGCCTGATATACAGGAGACTGTGGAATATCTAACATATATCATTTGTTTTGCACTGTTCCTGTCTTTGTTTGAGCGCTAAGACTTTCACTTTTATTACTGTACTTTTTCATCTCATTTGTCACTGTTGTCTTTCTGTTCATTTTTTTTTTTTTTTTTTATTAAGTCCATTGCTTAATAATGTTATTGAGTGAATCTAGACCTCCTTTAAACACATTTGAGCAAAAATCATGTGATATTGTTTTATATATATTGATTATTCTTTTTTTGCTTACAGCGTGTTGCAGTCCGACAACAAGAAATAGTCAATTCTGCCCCACCTGTGGAAAATGTCAAAGCGCGCTGGCCAGCACTTTATACAGAGAGACAGGTGTGTACACATTTTTTACATCTATGCATTTAACTTGAAGTGTTTTATGTTGTTTTTTTTGCAGGTCCTGGCAGAATTTAACCAGATCACCAGCTCCAAACTGGGCAATGATTTCGTTGAAGCATTGGATTGCCTAACGACACAGTTCAAGCTCTTTAAGGCCAAAAGGGGGTCTGCTGGCGCTAAGCTTTTCAAGATTGTCCGGCACCTCGATTCCTGTGTAAGTTCATAAAGCAATAACAAAAAGAAATGACATATGATTGTGTTTGGTGTTGTAATGCACATATGTACAGCAGAGGAGATGGAGAAAGGAGAAAGGTACACAGCAAAAGAGGTACTGCTGCATTTTGTATCATAAGATTTTTGGTACAATTGTAGATTGTCATTTTACATTTTTCACGTGTTTGTAGATGGTGGAACTGCAGGAAAACCCTGGTGACCGAGAGATCCTTAAAGATTATAATTCTGTGAGATCACTAAGTCACCGCTCTCGAAGACAACTTGTCGACCTTCTCGTCAGTGACATGAGTGAAACACATGGGTATGTTGTATCCCTCAGTTATTACTCAAAAGTTCCTTCTTACAAGTGGAAGGATATTTACTCAAAATAAAATGAAAATCACTTGAAAGACCTTTCACAATAATCACATAACAATTCAGTTTCTCTCAGCACTGTTATTGATTCCCCATTGTAAGATAAATAGTACTGATCTCTTTTATAAATGACCTAGGTAGATGTTCTCCTGTAGATTATCTCTTGGTTTGGTCCCTGTGAAAATATGTACTTGTAGATACTATTAATTTAGCCTTTTTATGTAACCATGAAGTCCTTTGACCATGAGTGTTTTTTTCTCCTTAGACAAATGCCTTCCCGAAAACAAAAAAAGCTATGCTCTTAGAATTATCACACTTTTTTCATTGAAGGATCCATTTTCTCAAAAAGGTTATGTAAGTATTGTTAATGTATCCATGGAAATTGAATTTGGTATACCTACACGTTTTGTGTCGGTAATGGATATGTATAGATAACAATCATAACTGTACACTTTGTTTTCAGACTAATCTCGCCTCGTAATGAGACGGTGACCTCCTATTTGCTTAACACAATATCTGCAATACAATGTGAACAATAAGTCCACATTTCCACTATGTTGATAAAGACGACATTGTGTGTAAGTGTTTTACTGTTTCTCCCTTTAACCTGGTTTTAAACATTGTCAGAGAGGAGCTTTAGCTGTGCTACAACTGAGGTATTTTATATTTATCTTTGTTAATGTACTGTGATTATTTATTTTAATGCTTTCTTATTTTGCTCAGCACTTCGAGTTGCATTGTGTATGAATTGTGCTAGACAAATAAACTTGCCTTACCATCGTACTTCCTGGTTCTGGTCAGGACTTGAGCTGCTGCATTTTGAATGTACTGCAGCTGTTGTGGCACAGTAGTCTAACCTACTGGAGACAAATGCATGGATAAGAATCTCCAGGTCTGCTTTAGACACTATGTTTAGATGGGGAAAAAGGATTTGATTTGGCTAATAATATTTACTGATTCTTTCAGCCGCTGGAATCGAAACCGAGTGTGCTAGAAAGTGACAAAGTGGAACTCTGGAAGTCCGCCACGGTAGACCTAATGTCCAATGAAGAAGAAGGCGTTGTGGACGGTGTCTCTGGATGGATTGTGCGGTCGCCGTCTTTTCGAAAGCCGGAGTTTTCTGAACTCTGTCAAGCTGCAGTACCGGTTAGAGGCGGTGCGGAAGTACAGAGCCACGCACATTAAGCGTCTATCTAGAACCCTGCCAAATTACAACCCCGAGGAGGCTATTGGACAGTTCAGAGTTGTAATTTTTTAATTACCTATGTGTGAGCATAAAGCTGTGTGTGTGTGTGTGTTTTAATAAAGCTTTCTTTGTATGAACATATTCCTGGAAAATTTTCATTTCTTCTATAAATAATACGAATATTTATATAAATATTATTACATTAATTATGAGGCAGGGTGACCAATAGTGACAGATCTGCCAGCCAATCACGAGAGATTATACTTATTTGAAAGTAGTGATTTCATCCAATGGGGAGTAAGCTACCAATGGGGAGTAATCCCACGTGGGCTGGCCACGTGTGATTTTTCAGCCAATCACGAGTTTGAAAGTAGTGGTATTCACCAATGCTGAATAGCAGCCTGGCCAGCCGCTGCATTCATATGCTAATTAGGGCCATTAGCGCTCGGCGGCCGCAGTGTTTCGCTGCATTCATATGCAAAGTAGGGACATTAGCATGGTACGGATACGGCAGTTTGGAGGACAGGGCACCCTAACTGCGCCTTCTGAAAACTGCCTGAGATACCCGAAAAAGAGCGTGATTTCCTGCAGTTTAGGGTGACGAAAATCTAACTTTTCATGCAGTGCTCCCTCCCGCCCTCCCACACAGCCCCATCCTTCATGATCTCGTGTGGATACCTGGCGCCCTTCCACTTGCTTCCTTTACTGGGGGCCTCACGTACCAGCAGCCATGTCACTGCGGAGCTCTTTTTGCCCTAATCTAATCTCAGACACACCTTCTGTTCAATGCTATGCTCTACTTTCTCTTCACTGTCACCTCCAGCTCTAAAGAATAGATGTGAGTCCAATGATTTATTTATGTGGGTCTCTGGTTTGCAGTAATTACGTTTATCTGCTTTGGGGATTAACTAGAACATGCAGGTAAAGTGGAACAATCATCTTAGATTTGTATTTGTTAATGTCGTTGTTATTTTCAATTCCAAACTATTGAATACAACCATAATGGCTTTGGGAGTCTACAAAAGGTCACACATGTCATATTTTCAGATGCATGGTTACTTAAAATGAATATATTTGTTCCTTGATTAACATACTTTTGAACTACCCTGCACATCGCAGCACATAGGGTTGAGGGATACATGTAAAAAAACAAATCACACCCAATACTTGGGCGATATGGCATGTATCGACCAAGGCATGAATACATATTTTTAAAGCTATTTGTATATGGAAAATAACCATGTCATGTAGTTTACTCTCAACAATAAACCTTTGTTCCAGTTGTGTTTAGAAGCAACTGAACTTATTTTATTCAGAAAAACCTACAAAAAAAGAATATCAAAAAACCCATGTTCAAGAAAAGTAATGATATCAAAATACCTCAATATTGTCAGAAAGAATTTCCACAGAAATGTTGGCGTAGTGTTCATGTTGTCCAATCCTTCCCTCCTTTAAATTCAATCTATTCCATCAATGCACTATGAAATATGCCTTATTGCTACTGTAATAGCACAGTAGCATTAACCCTGTGTATACATACAAAACAGAAACAAAAAATCAGCCTTTGAAACATTTGAATTATGAATAAATTGACGTCACAATGAACTATAGATATCCCATATCGGTCGATCTCTAGTCTATGGGCAGTAGAGCTGTTTAAACAAAACTCAAAAACAACATTTGATTGGTGATACAGACCATTGAAGCTATAAAACTACTGATTATATAATGGCAAATCCCAACTTCCGAAGTGCTTTGAAGAGGGGAAAACAAAATAATAATACAAATACAAAAATCCCTACACAGAGAGTGAAAGTCGATTTGACCAAGACCTCTGTGGTGCAGCAGGTTAGTCCTTCCCTCTGCCTCTTGAGGGAGAGTTCTTTCTTTTTTATGTTTCAGCGTGAGAACATGGCTTCCCCTTCTACAGTACATATGCATGCCTGTGTACATGACAAATCCATGCATTCATTTTGGCTCTTGTTTGCTGAATCTACCGCTGCCTGACCTTCGTTTGGAGGTGATCCAGCGATCGATGAGGCCACAGCCCCTTTGAGAGTTTGAAGCATACTAATTGTGCTAATGATTGATTTATTTGAGTATCGCAGTGCCCGGCTACACAGAGGGGGGAATGCAGCGTTCAGCAGCCCAGTGCACACCCTTCTCAGACTATGGATATGGATAAGACCGTTTAGTGAGGATGTAACACTGGCCGTTACCGTCCAGCCTGAAAGAGCCATTCAAATCAAATTGAAACAGCTATTTGAAGGGTTGTGTAATTAGAGATTTGCTAAGGCGGCAGAGTTAAAGTAATAAAATATTCTCGGCGGAGAGCAAATTGTCTCATAATTCATTCAACTGCTGCTAACCCTGTACAGTAGTTTAGACCAAATCCCTGTTCCAATGTGGAATTAATTATTACACATAATATTTATAGAAGTGTTACGAATGGCAGCTTATTCTCCACATTTTTTTCAAACGTAAAAGGGGTGTCAGCAACTTGAATGAATTTGAAAAGAATGAAGTAAGTAAGTAGATCTTTTGTATATGTTTTTTTAATGGTAGGGGAAACTGGAGCACCCGGAGGAAAACGGAGCAGACAAAAGAATGTGCTAACCCCTCTGCCACCGTGCCGCTAACAAACAATGTATTGTTTTGACCATGAGACACTGTACTATCATGTACAGAAAGTATTCTTCAACAATAGTATATTTAAAACCATCCCTCCTTGGCAACTATGAACTATGACCAGTAAGATTTGATGGAGGAGAACAGTTAAACCAACGATGAGGGGCCTCAAGGATTTGAAATCATTTTGACCAGGTGTGGGCGGGTCTAACCACTGCTCTCACTATTTCTTCACACTTTGAAAAGTAACTGACAATCAAAATGTAATGATACTGACCTTGCATTTTAGACCCATCAAGACTTAATACTCCTTGTTTTTTTAGTTTAGCAGCTAACTTTTCCCATACCAATGCAGTTGTAACCTGGTGTGGACTTTTGAATTTTGATTTATTCTGTTACTTCATTGGTTCTCCTTCCTGTCCCCTTGACTGTTTGCCCACCCCCCAATGTGATTCACCTGTGTCTCTCTGTGTATCTATACCATGGATCTATGATAATACCTGGATAGGTTAATAGTAGCTTTTGGCCGTCCCACCCATGGGCACGGGGCTTCCTGCAGTACTACAGACTAAATGTAAACTGAAAGAGCACGACCTCAGCTGAGAGAGAATCTACAGCTTTCATAAAGGTCAGATTTTGAGTGGATTTTTGTGTCCCTTGTTATTCTGAACTCCTGTTAAATCGGTTTTCTATAAATCCACACTTCAGTGCAACAAACTCTGCTCTACTTGTTGTTCATCCATTGTCGATCCCACATTTGTTGCTGGATTGTTTTGACTTGTGTGTTTCATGGTTACCCTGACTTTATATTTGATATAGTATGATATATGGTTTTATTCCATAAAATTTCACTTTATCTTCAGACCTGCATCTTGGGTATCTTTTTTTTTTATTCCACCTCATCACAATAACAGTTTTTAACGATGTCAGTGTTGAACCATTTGTAAGAAAGTAACTTTGCCACCTCACTACACCACATAGAGCTGTGTAGTCACATATGTTTGTGCAGCGTCCTCTCGTCACCGTTCAGATAAAGGAAACAATCCTTCCTTTAGACTATATCCACACGAAGACAAAACGCTTATAATTTCAGAAACTTTTTCTGTAAACACGGAGTTAGCTCAGTAAATGTGTGCGTCCATATGAATGTAGTCAATACGCCTGAAAACGCTGTGAAACTATGCCAGACCTGTTGGTGGCGCTGTGACGCAATGACGGGATCAAGCCCAAACTTCCGTGACGGGCCCTGGGCATGCGCAGAATTTTGTAAACAGACAACATGGCGAGTGGGCGAGCTGGTACTACATTAGTATGGACGGACGATGAGGTTGAACTGTTGCTTTGGGTCACACTGGATTACAAAACCAACAAGCTACATTGTTGTTGTCATTATTTTCTGAGTGCGGCGCATGCGTGCTTTAACAAGAGGCGGGGCGATGACGCAAGCGTCTCAGATACATTGCGGAGAGGCAGTAACCACGGAGCGGCATATACGGAGTTTTGAAATCTTTCCACTCTGGGACCTACTTTCAAAAATGTTCGTTTACACCCCCCCAAAACGCCAGCCTCGTATGGACGATACACTGGATTGATAAAGTATTTTTGCGTTTAGGCCTGAGCTTGACTTCGTGTGGACAGGGCAAGGTGCTCAGCAGAACAACCAATCCATGAGATATAAGGCTACTACTGTAGGCTACTTTGATTCCGGTTTGAACCTGTTTTAGCTGCAGGTGTTGTCAAAGTTTAATTCCAGTTGTAGTCCCATTTTTAGAATGATTACAATAGTAAGATTCTTCAAAATAGTATATTTAAAACCATCCCTCCCCCTCGCAGAACTATTAGAACCAGTAGGATTTGATGGTGGAGAACAGTTAAACCAATGATGAGGGGCCTCAAGGATTTGAAATCATTTTAACCCATCGGGTGAGTCTGGGCGGGTCCAACCACTGCTCTCACTCTTTCTTCACACTTAAAAAAGTAACTGACATTCACTTTAAATCAAAATTGGTGTCAGGTATCAATTAGGTATTTGCTTTGATTGTAGTCACTGATACTGACGTAATAATATTGACCTTGCATTTTAGATCCTTTAAGACCTTAAAACATATTTAAGAAAACTCATTAAAAATATCTGAAAAGAATATCTTCTAAATTTTTTACGTATCCCAGCCCACTTTTTATTTGAGCCAATGGAGCCCTCAAAATGGCCTCCGTAGCTCCACCCACTCTCCCTCAGCCTTACCTTTCCCTTTTGTTGATTGGCTCTTTCCCCTTCTTGTTTTTTTTTATGTTTCCCTCTAAGAGCCGGGATGAAACAAAAATGTTGATGTTTGTTTAAGAAGACGTATGTGCTTTTGTCTCTACGTACTTACAGTCTATGTCACCTGTGGATTATATATTTGGTATATATTGATCCAAAAGGATTTAATAAAAGAAGCGCTGACTTCCACATTAAAAATGGTGGTATTGATTGCACCTGTCCCTTTAGATACATTATCGTTAACGACATCACCAAGCACCACATCGCAGCAGATCACAGTAGTGGACTATTTACTTTATAACATTTGTGCAAAAGGGTAAAGTACGTGCGGTGATGAGACTGAGATCGTCAGAGCGGAGCTGACTTGAATATTAATGACTGAAACATTCTTCAAAAACAACACTGAGCTGGAAAATGAGGAGGAAAAGCAGTTGGACCAACAATAGAAAGTCTACGTTGACAATGCACAGTATACTGCTTTAAAGTTGAAATATGATGCATTATGTTTGGCCATTGAAATGATAAGGAGACTATTTACTGTGTCATTTCATTTCATTTTGTGAAATAATATTTTTAGTAGAAAGTATATGGTGAAACAAGTATCAAGGACAAATAGGCGTATTTGGCTTGCACTATCCCTGTGCTACCACTAGAGGGAAGAGTATGTAAAACAAGTAATGTGAGCTGTGACCACCAAATTATATTATAATCACTACTTTTGTTTCAAAAGGCAGAAAACTGGTCTAAGTGAATGACATCATACTATTAAAGGACTGAGAGCACTGATGTTAGCGTGGATGGATCAAAAAACAACTCAAGGTCGGTTTTTTGATAATAAATAATCTTGTAACATGATGAAAAGCTCCAAATAATCAATTTTGCATTATAAATTTGCTTTTGAAATATTGCAAAGGGAAGTGTATACATTAAGATATCCATTCATTCATCCATTTTCTTCCCCTAATCCATTTCTGGGTCAGGGGGTGGCAATCAGAGATACCACCCAAGTCACAAAGCGCCAATTTATTAAGATGTAAATAATATAAATAAGATAGAAATATTCAAGATTTAAGATTTTTCTATCTATTTTAGTTTACTTTTTTATGAATTATTTGCACCATAAAACAAAGTAAATTTCTAGTTTGTGACTTCCTGTTACTTACAGTGGAAAGCAAATCTATTCTGATTCTAAAGATAAGGATTTTATTTTTATTTTTGTGCTTTACTTAATATTCACTAATCATATTACCGTACGTGTTTGTGTGCTCCTCATTCCTACTGTTCTGTAACCTTTGATGCAACACTGACATTTCCCCACTGTGGGACAAACAAAGAATCTCTTCATCTTAATCTTAATCTTAAATGAAGCCTATAAAACAAAGCAGAGGTGATCTTGCACATGCCTGACAGACCAGAGTCCTCTTCACTGTTGTCCTCGTCCACCGTCTTCTCCAGGTTACTCAGAGATTTACTTCGTGTGCGGAAGTTTCGCAGCAGGTTCCGATGTTCCTGATACGTAATGGGCGGGCTGTCGGCGCTGATGTGAACGGGACGCGGCGTTCCGTAATAGTTTCCTGAAACAAAGAGCAATCGACTTGAATTCAATGAACAAGCAAAGCACAAGAACATGCAGGAGGGTCTGAGGACTATGAGGTCTGAGGACTATGAGGCTCTTTGAGGATCCAAGACATTTAGGACATTTGTGGACAATTAAGGACATTTGGGACATTTATGGACAATTAAGGACATTTATGCACATTTATGGACATTTATGCACATTTATGGACATTTATGCACATTTATGGACATTTATGGACATATAGGGACATTTACGGACGATTAAGGACAGTTATGGACATATAGGACATTTGTGGACATTGGTCATCCTGCTCTCTTCAAACCAATGACTCCAAAGTGATTGTTATTACTGCATTTCCTTAGTTTGAACCGTTCGATTTTCTAATTAACTATGAAAAATTCCACCGAGGCGACTTTGATTTAGGGCTGTACAAAACTACATTGAATTGAAAATCTGCCATGGTTAGTAAGTACTGCATTCTCTGTCACTCACTCTGTCTCTTGATGTAAATATTTTGCATAATGCTTCAATTTCCGACCATTTCAAATCATTTCAGAGTTATTATTGTGTGCCTTGCAATAGGCTCCTTAGGGAAATACCACACCACCCCACAAACATGCACGTATGTGCATGTTTGTGGGGTGGTATGCAGTCCAAGGATTATTTTCACACTGGTTAATGGATTCATTTGTCAGCCGAGGTTTGTTGTTCACAATATAAACAAACCAACTCAAGAGAAATTGGGTGGAATAAAAGGAGTTTTATATTCAACCACATATATATGCAATGGACTGTGGTGAGTTTCTTGGCATTCCGTTCAATTTCAATCGTTTTAACCGCAGCTGCAGATTGTGAAGGGATGGAGCACCGTTATGAATGCGACCTATGGGATAATGAAGTAAAAAGGCAGTGTATTTGGACTTTCATTTCTGACAGCTGGGTTCAGGTCAGTGTTCTGTGGCATTTCCAGGCGTCTCCCCACAGTGCTGCTGATCGCTGGTCTGTGGCATCATGTCAATGTCACCAGTCTCAGGTGAAGACGATACTCACTGGTGCCATTATAGTCTTATAAATTATGGATGCTTATGCGGCAAAGCTATTTAATCAAAGGTAGGACTCTGACCTTTAAGGAGGTGGGGCCTCGGGTCTACAACATGTGGATAACACTGTGTGACATTAATATGTATCAAGAATCTTCACATCGCATCTGGGGAAATGTTTGATGTACATTATTTTATACTTTCTGTTCTAAATGGAAAGGAAAAATATTGATTTAAGGCAAGGGGAGTTTATTTGTATAGCACAGTTCACACACAAAAGGCATCTCAAAGTGCTTAACAAAACAAAATAGAAAGAATCACTCAAGGCATTACAATTCATAAATAATCACAGTACATTAAAACGAATGAAGATACAATCCTTCAGTCCACAGCGAAAACAGAATTGTTTTCAATCTGGATTTGAAAATTGTCCAAGTAGAAGCCTGTCTCACATTTTCAGAAAGACTGTTCCAGATAATAGCTGCATAAATCAGAAACGCTTCCTTCTCATGTTTAGTCCTGACTCTGGGCACCAGCAGGAGACCAGTCCCTGTGCAAGAGTCCGAGTTGGTTCATATGGCACTAACATGTCACAGAGGTACTTTGGTGCGAGGCCATGAAGAGGCTTGTACAGAAACAGAGCTTGAGCCGCACGTCTTTGAGCTAAACTAATGATTGCAGATTTTTGAATTCTGATAAACGACATGATTGTGCTTTTACAGATGCAGACATGAATAAACTTTCATATATGTTTTAATTATGAACTGCTGAATTATATACAATTCACTCAATTCATTTCTGGACAGGATTGTCAATCAATCCATAATTTTGTGTATGGATTACTGTACACAAAATTATGATCAAGGTTTTTTTAATTGAACATATTGATCGTCTGGGGATCTGGAGTGTGATGACTGCTTATTTTCTCACTAGCCAATGAATACTCGAGGTTCTTCAAATTATATATGGCATGTGTACATTAGCAAAGCTTGAGTTGATCTGTTGCAAACTTTTTACAGTCAAGAATAATAGCGGTTTAGGTTGTAGTGGAACATTCTGCACATTCTGAGTTTTTAAATGAGGTATGTCTGTATTGGCAGAGATTATATTTGACAAAATAAGGCTGTGGAGGCAGTAACTATCTATTTGCCACTCGCACATTCCCCATAATCCTTTACGCTGTGGGGGGTAGCGAGCTGTATGCGATACAATCATCTCCGAAGCGGATCCCTCTACCAATGTGGGTCTCTCGAGGTTTTTCACTTTTATTCCGACTGTTTTTTTTGTTTTTTTTGTTCCTTGCCGATACAGGAGGGTCCATAGCAAGCATGTCCAAACCAAGAGGCCCAGTGTTTCATTTTATGTGGACCTCTGCCTTGCTAATACAAACTATCCATTTAGGCATCCAGCCAACTTTAGCTCCACCAATATCACCAATATAGTCGTGCTGCACCTTGTTTTAAAGCTCTGAACCTTTGGAATTCAGCCATTCACTTTATTTTTTTATTTACTGTCATTTGTTTTCAATTGTGTCCCAAAATGACACCAGTATAGATGCGGTGTAATAAAATATCATACCCAATTTTAAAGCCCAAAGCCTGAAAAGTAGTTTTAGAATGTTGTCAGTCCCCTAACAAGTCTGGTGAACTAAAGTGGCCCTCCTACTAAAAAGTTTGGACACCCCTGGTCTAAGGACAGTTAGAATCTGGAACATTTCTTAACATTTATGGACATTGGTCATCCCGCTCCCAATGATCCAGTGGTTTATTATTGCATTTTCTGTGTATTTCCTGTCAACTTTGTAAAGTCCCTGAGACGACTGCTGTTGTGATTTTGGGCAATACAAAAATAACATAAATTGAATTGAAGTTAGGTCTGTCATTAAAGGCACACCAAACCTCACTCATCTGCCTGGATCCCTCTCACCTTTAAACTTGCCACTCTCCAGCAGAGCACCCGATTCCTCCAGCGAAAAAAACTCCTCCACCGACACAAAGTTGTAGTCAATCCCGGAAATCTCTCCCAGTCTGGGCTGTCGGGTCGTGCCTGTGATGGAGAAGACAACAGCAAAATATCACCTCATACATCAGCACGCGCAGTTTACCCCCGCACACTTGATTTGTCCATTAATCAAGACCTTTTCCTCTCATGACTCAGCATTTAAGCAAAACAAGTCAGCAACCTATAAATAGTGCACACATTTGAAAGGATTAAATACAAATCAAACCGCAGAGGCGCTCATACATAAACAGAGATGTGTCACTTGTTTCAACGCCAAAGATAGATTTTAGCGCAACCTTTAAGTGTGATAATGTCATAGTTTATAGTGTTTGCTTCTTCATAATGTGTGGATCAATATGGATACAATGAAACATTTATGAGCTACTGGGGATGTCTTAGAGTCTCTCCATCACGGACGACGCAGCGGTCACATGATCAATGGTTTGTCATTGTAATTGATTTGCGTTGACCTTGATCTGGAAAACCATCAAACAAAAGATTTTCTTATTTTGTGGAGTGTCTTAGTGGTTACAGCTCACAATATTATAGAGTGGATTTTTACTGCATGGAATGGTGGGCTCCTTGATCAGCGTGGTTTGACTTGGACAAAACTACACATAAAAACAAGTTGCAAATGTGATATTAAGCAATAACTTGTTTGCACCATAAAGCCAATTCCTAGTTTTTTTTGACTTCCTGTTCCTAACAATGGCAATAAAAACCATTCTCATTCTAAATTACAGGTGTCTTCCTGATTTGCCCTATTCTAAAAAATCTTTGAAACGCTTTGTGAGAATTGTCTTCAGACCAGAGAATCTTCCACAGTACCACATGAAGTGAGTGAATAATTTGTATACTTCTACTTCCTATTTTCCAATTTCCAGAGCTGTTAAACCAGGTGCAGATGCATCAAACAAGCATATGTAGGCTAGAACTTAATTTAAACATAACCTGATTTTGTTCTCTATAACATGATAATCTACGGCCCCTGTGGCTCTTTATTAAATACATGGTTGATATGAAATGTTTGGATTGAGCTAAAAGGATGTTATAGAAGAAACGACTCGCTTAGCTCCTCCTTAAGTCCTCTCTGGCCGTGTGTGTGAATCCTCCACATATCACGGATTCTGAAAAGAACATTGCCAAAGAAAGTGGAACCTGGGGGAGGGGGGCTAAGTCTCTGTAGTAAGAGGACTGAGGGGAGGTCAACAGTGGCGCGCGTATGTAAGGATGTACTGTAAACAACGCAAACACGCATAAATAGTACTGACAACAGCTTTGTGTGTACATTTGTTAGTGCAGCAACAAATTTACAAGGCTAAACAATTTTTTTTAACATTTTTTATTAATTATGAATTAATTATAATTAATATGACTGGTGCTATGAGCATTGGGTGGAAGCTCTCATTGCCACCCTCCTGACCTAGAAATGGAATAATAAAGGGGTTGAAAATGAATGAATTAATGAATATTTCAAATAGTTGTATAATGCAGAGTGTGTAGCTTTTGACCAAGTAAAGTTGACAACATATAATATCCAAAATGTTCGATAATGTGAAAACATTTTGAAGTTAAACAATGCTTGTTTAACAAGTGCAGTTGTTAACAATGTCACTTTACTGGAGAAAGTCACAAAATATTTTCATTTTAACGGTAGGAAAAACCTTGGTCCGTGATGTAATAGTCAGGGGATTTCTCAAGTAGCATACAAGTTTGAAAACGGAGCTTTTAGACTGAAGGGGCGGGCCGGTGGTTTGTTCCAGAAGTTCCAGGTATAAGCGTAGATGGTGCTAAAAACCACTGCAGGTCTGTGTTTGATGAAGAAGCAATTTTGTGTGCAATATGTCTTTGTTAAGTACATTACATCGCCATAGAGCGGCAGTAAAAGTGTATCCGTCCTGGTTGGCGCATGCATAACTTTGAAAATCACTGTCTGAGGTCATAATTATTTTATTTTTTTAATCATTTTTAAAGATGTCGGCGCATTAAGAGCTTGTCTGAACACGAGGTGCGAAAGACGTCAGTTCTTTATAGCTGATTCTCCATTAAGCCCGCTGCGCTTCATTTGCAGGACAAACCAGGGTCCACACGCTCTGACCTTGATAAGAGTGATTCCTCTCCCCCACGACACAAAAGGAAGTGAGCCCAAACTGAGGACAAATCTGTGTCCTTCTACGACTGCGTGTGACGACAGAGAAGGCCTGTAGGAGCGCAGCACACCCACGCAGCCTATAAAAGCCATGATTAATGCGCGGGACATCCAGGGAGCAGCTCGGCCAGCCACAATGACACACAGGACTCTACTGTAAATACAAAAATCCACTTAGGAACATACCCTACCCCCCAGTGAGGTACCCACTGGGGGTAGGGGAGTTCAAAGCAGTGAATCAACTCATTAGTGGATGTGTAGGGCATATACAGTAACATTGTCTTTCATAGCAGTAATAGTGACTTTGTGTGAGAAAAAATTCTTTTCACTAGGGGCCAAATTATTTTTTGGTTTGCCAATAAAAGTTATTTAGGGTGATTTTATGCGCTCCTATTTTCCCAAATTTTATTTTGGGCTTTTTGGGCTTGTATGGTTTCAGCGACAGACATTTATCGATTTGATACATTTCCATTTTTGCTGAAATCACAAAGGTTAATCTTGTCTTGGGTTTAAATTATGTTTTTGTTTTTCAATGTTACAAACAGAACAACTAAATATTTTTTAACCAAAGACAAAATTAAACTTTTTAAATCAACAACATAAACAGACTTGGTGATCCACTGAGCATGAGTAAATTGAGACGCATGTTTGGGTCTGAGCAAGATGATTGTCAGTGAAGTAGTGACCAATTCTTTTTGTACACATTGCATTTCTATTGGTACAAACATCTCCCCAAATACATTTACATCAGACGATTTCAAAGTCTTGCATGAAATTGATTGCTAATTTTCCATAATCACTGGATGTTACAGCCACCAACTCCCCTTTGTCCAATATAGACATGTACAGTACCTCATTTTTAAACATGCATCTGTTATTAAATCTGTTTTGGACATCTGTAAAAAGTCCACAGTAGCCATTCAGATCATAAACTCAAGTTCATGTAATCATTTTTTTTAAATAATATCAACTATTTGTATATATACAAATTCTATGCTGCTTCAGAGTAGATACAGATTCAGATTATTTACTGGTATCATAAATGCTTTGGTCAAATGTTTGTGGCAAGAAGATATTGTGTTTTTTCTTTAAATATATATGACATTTAAGACCAATTGTGATTATTTTGTTTAAATAAAAAAATTGAAACATGAAATAAAAAAATAAAATTGCCATTGTGCCGGCAGTTCCTGGCTTTTACACAGTGTATGTAACTTCCATGTGATTATTTGTAGTTGTAGTATGAGTTCATATCCTTATCATAGAGGCAATTTGAAATCATATACAGTAAAAAGCAAATTTATCTGTTTTGAGACCTCTGTGAAATCCCTATCCTTCTAAAAGAGGTCTCCGTCTGCTGCTCTTTTGATTCATGCTATCAGGTTCCACTCCATCTGTGATCACTTCCACTTTGCACCGCGCACCCGGCCCCCACATCTGCTTAACAGGAAATAACCAGTCACCCACAGGTCTCCTCCTCCTCACGCCTCAATACTTGGATTTACAGCTATCTATTTTTAAATAAAGATCTCATGGCGGATCTACTGATAACTTCTGACATGTACGTAATTCTTCCCTCGCCCCAGGACTTCCCAGGCAGCCAATGTGGGGCGCGAGGCAGGCTCTCATTATCTATGCGCCCTCTATGGAGATATATACGGCATGTCAGCGGGAGGGAGTGGGAGAGGGAGGGTGCTGGATTATTGACATGTTCCCAGTCGCCGTCGGTCTCTGTGGGCAACGCTTACTGATCCCCCGGGAGAGGCCTGAGATAGGGATTGAAGAGGTAATTACGCACATGGCCCATCAACACCCAGAGAGAGCTGTCTGTCACAGTCCTGCCACATAAATAGCGAACAATGCCTGGTGCAGTTTTGGGAGCAAGACGCACTGAAATGTCCCGATGACGATGTTTCTTATCTGACTCATTCCGGAGACAATTAGAAAAGTCTTTTATAGAGCCGTGACATTGAATCATTGAAGGGCACATGCACAAATGGTTACGGAGATTAGGAAGCTGCAGTTCAGAAAGCTAATTTGAAGTTTCCCGATTCAGACGTTATAAGGTTTTTGAAAGGGGGATTGGAAGAGATGACCATATTAAACTAAAGAACGTCATTGTGAGCTGCAGTGATGGCTGACACTCAGATGGAGGCAAAAAACTGAATTTTGCATTAATTGTCTGATGATTAAATAACAATACTTAGAGAGAAGAGAAAAAATAAAGCGGTGGGTTCAAAGCTTGACTGTCTAACTTAAAACAGAAATTTTATACCAGGGGACATCACAGCCCTTGATTTTGAGTTTGCCAAAGTAGATTCTTGGGCCGCGCTTTGTCTGACTTGTCAACTAGGACCTGTTTGCCATGGAGACCCTATGGCATAAAGCCCCAGGCAACATATCTCCTGGGATAATCTGAGCACGCAATCTGCATCACCACGTGAAGGTGGCAGTATGAACTGTCTAAACAACAAAACCACGTACGGTACTCAACTTGTAAAAGGTGCCTTTCCCTCTTTAGTTGGAGAGGTCCATCCTTGTGTGGAGAAGTTCAACGATCTCTAGGTCTTGTTCCGAGTGAGGGAAGGAGGGAGCATGAGATTGAGAGACGGATCGGTGCAGCATGTGCATTAATGCGGCCGCTATATCAGACTGTTGAGGTGAAGAGGGAGCAGCGTCTGCAGTCAGAGCTGTATGCACTGATGTGGTGAAGAGGGAGCTGAGTTGAAAGGCAAAGCTCTAGATTTCTCTCCCTCACCTATGGTCAAGAGCTATGGGTGATGACCAAAAACTCCAAAGGAGGTTCCTCTGCAGAGTTTCCCTCCCTTAGAGATAGGGTGAGGAGCTCAGTCACATGGCAGAAGCTCAGAGTAGAGCCGCTGCTTCTCGAGGTCGTGAGGAGCCAGTTAAGGTGACTCAGGCGCCTCTCTGGAGAGGTGTTCCAGGCATGTCCGATTGGGAGGAGACAACGGGAAGATCCAGGACATGTTGGATGTCTCTCAGATGGCCTGGGAACGCCTCAGGGTTCCCTCAGATGAGCAGGAGGAAGTCTGTGTGGATTGGGAAGTGTTTCTGCCTAGACTTATTCCCCCGCGACCCGTCAACGGCTAAAGCAGAAGAAAATGGATGGATGTTTTTAATTGAGTTGACGCTGTATATAGGTATGTATCATATCAAGGCTAATGCACAAAACTCTCACACATACCCAGCCGTAAAAGCTATAATTGTAATTGCATTTCAAATTTGATGAACGGCCCTAGAAGAAATCTTGTTGAGCAGGGTAATCTTAAGATTTCTAATTCAGGCATGATAAAAGATGACCATAAAAGTGCAGAACCCCCACCTCTCCTCCTCCTGTCTAGTCTTTGGCACCGGTAGCCATTTGCTTTTAATTTAATTCCCCTCTCCAGATTATTGATACAGTAGCCTGCATTCACTTAATGCGGCCATTCATTTCCATTTTTATGCGCCGCTGCAACCCTCTGACGGGCCTTTGTAATGATATTTCTTGCATCAGAGCCAAATGCGACATCACAGCCGCAAATCTCTTCAAAGGGACTGAGAGGTTGTGTGACTCTCCCTAAATAGAACAACGCTTCAAAATGAAAAAAATAAAGCATTTTCTGAAACAAACAGTGCTGAAGCACTCGACCATTTAAATTAGTGATTTAAAAAGGGACAGAGTAAGGTGAACTGTAAGAAGACCAGGATCAAACAAGAGCAGGTTTGATGTTTAGATGAGCTGTGGACAGAGGTGAAAAGGTGGATGAAGTAACTAAGTGTTGATGAAGGACACAAAATATTCAGCCTTTGGGTTTTTTGTTGTTTAGACAGTTTATTGATCGATGGTATCTAAAGTCAACTGATTGATTTACAGTGCCTAGTCCTTCCTTAAAAGGGTCTAAAAGGGATCCGTGATAAAAACTGTTTTCAAAACCAGAAACACTCCAATGCTCCAATTATTCATCTTCCACTAAATGGGTTTGAACTTGAAAAAAATCAAACAATAGAGATGCGTGATACTTCATTGATATTGGAAATTGGAAATCTGAGCCGATCCAGATCCATGTGTTAATTAATGCAATGAAACTATTCACTGGCTTTTGTAGTTACTCACAGGAAGAATGACTTTTGTAATGGATCATTTTGTAATAAATTAGCATTAATTTGAGAGGAATTGTTTTTGAGTGGTGGGTTAAAAGCTTGACTTACAATTTAAAAGGAAGATTTTTTTTAAAGGGCCTCCCGGTTTAACCCTACCCATGGTTTGATGAGAAGACGCCAATATGTCAAAAATGTTACATTATGGCCAACCAATACATTGGTCAACAAATTACAGGTTATGACTATTTCCAGTCCCTCTCTGATACCACTTTTATACTGGTATGATCAGATTTTGGGAAGCCAAAGTAGTGAGATCAGCAGACATGAAAATCTGGATTGGAGCCTCACTACAAACAATAGTGATTACTTTTACAGTCTCTACTCTTATCGACTAATGCATTAGGGCTCTGAAAGATCCGATCTCTTCTTATCTTAAGGTCAGATTTAATAGAGTAGACTATGGCCGCTGCCATTTTTCTTTTTATTGTCACATTTTATTGTTCTACTTTCTATTGTATTATTGTATTGTTTTAGTGTCCCCAGTGTTTCCTCTGGAGGAGCCCTCTGCACTGAGAGCTGGGGTCTGCTGTGGCTTCGGGGGTCTGGCTCTTGGATCCGGTGGGGGTCCGGGGCCTCCTCTCTCCTCTGGGTCCTATGGGGTCTGAGTCCTGGGCCTGGTGGGGTCTGGGGCCCCTCTCTCCTCTGGGTCCTGTGTCGTTCCCTGTGGCTGCAGCCGGCTCTCTGCTCCTGGTGCAGATGGCTCCTTGGATGACGCTTCTTCAGCCGGTTACATCTGCTCCCAGCCCCATTTCTTTTTATTGTTTTACCTATTTTACCTTATATGACTTTATACTTGTGTATGTGTGTGTGTGTGTGTGTGTATGTGTGTCTGTGTGTGTGTATATGTGTGTGTGTGTATACGCATGTGGTTGTATATATAATTATAAATGTGGTTTTGGGGGGTCTGTGGGGAGGAGGGTTTAGGGCTGGGCATGTTGGATTGTTTTTAACTAAACTGTAAAGCACTTTGTGTTACACTTTTTGTATGAAAAGCGCTTTATAAATAAAATTTGATTGATTGATTGATGGCCAAACCACTGTTAGTTAAATCTGCTGATTGCAAAGGAGAGTTCAGATATAAATGATCACCAAATATTTAATACCATTGTTTTCCCAGATTGATAGTATCATGGTTCCTCTGCTCAAAAGGGATGCAACTGGATGACAGCAGACCATGCGCATGTGTGTGTGTGTGTGTCCGTGTGTGTGTGTGCGCGCGTGCTGAGTGTGTGTGGGTGCGTGCGTGTGTGTGTGTGAAAGAGAGGAGCAGCATCTTTGTGTCATCTCCAGCGGCTGAGAGGATTACAGGGGGACAGCTGAGCCTGACTTTGTTGTCACTCACTGTCGCCCTTAGAGACGGACAGTGGATACAGAAGGTTATATTGGCGCTGGGCGTCTAACGCAGAAATACAATGTCACAGAATAACAAGTCCACTTTACCATTCACTGGTACTGTGAACATGCATATTTAGGTAAATGTTAAACTATATGGCTGAATACTGTATGATGTTACATTGTAGTAAAAGGTATGAATAAACATTAACTTTAAAAACCTGTTACTTCAGCACAGTTTCACAATCATTTAAAGACCTCATGCCGGGTTTAAAAAAAAAAAATTGTGGATCTCAAAATTGCATGACAATGTCAATCTGAAATAGATTCTGGCAAAAAAAATCCTATATTTTATAAAAAGAACGTGTTTTTCATGAATTTAAGTTGTCTATGCTCTAACCTGTGTGTGACGTCATAGCGGGTAACGCCCATGCATTGAAAACCATGGATCTATGCCACAGGACTGCCTTTTCGCTCTTCTCTCCACTGATGCCCAACACAATACTGCACTCTACAGGTGACAATTGCTCACTACACATAAATTGCCGTTTTGAGAGTGAAAATGTGTCTAAGCTGGGATTTTAACCCCAATGTCTGGATTGGCAGTCCATCGACACAACCACTGGACTATCTCAGTGACAACGAAATGTTACAATCTAGTAGTAATGTCAGACTCGCTGTACACGGCCTTGTCCTCTTGAATATCTGTGAAAAAAGAACGAATACCAAATTGTAAACAACTTACAGCGTTGAAACGTACCCACTGTGAAGTTTTTTTGTCTCTAAGGGCGTTGCTATGGGGTTATTTCGATTTGGGGGGATCAGACAAAAAAAACAACAACTGATTTTGAAACCTTTAGTAGTTCTCTTCTAATATAAAATGGTATTAAAACTGTATTTCTAAATACATCAAACCCGGCATAAGGTCTTTAAGGTCACACAATGGCCCTCATGTATGAATTTTGCGCAGAAAAAGGCGTAGACTCAACCTTTATTAACGATTATTAACCTGTATTAACCCTTTATTAACGACAGGTCAGCACGGCACTCGGCCAGGAAGACTGTTTAAAAAGAAATATACGCTATATTATTTATATATATATATGAGTGAATGAATTAATTAATTTTAATATCTCTGCCTCAGCGTCCGTGATTTCACAGAGAATGTCTGGATTTGAGCAGTGATGCGGTGGGACCTCTCCTGGCACCTGCTGCCCAGAGCCACTGGCCGTGAGCCCATTCCTACAGACGTGTGTTGCATCCTATCCCTAAACTGCTACATGCAGAGTACAGGACAGTTTCTGAGAAAGTTTTGAGTGAGACCATCGCTGCGTTTATGAGGCTTTATGCACAAAACTAGGGAAAAAACACATTGCTTTGCCAGAGGTGAATGAGGAAAATCAAATGTGTAATTACGCAGCGCATGCAGGGCCTTCAGATTTACAGTTAGTCACTCAAGTGTATTTGTATAGCGCCTTTCACAGACCAGGATCACAAAGCACTTTACATTTAAAAGACATACAGATGAAAATAATACACACAGAAGTCAGGTTTAAGATCAAAGAAACAGAAGAGGGTCCTCATCATGATTTGTGATTTATTCGAAGTTTGCGTGTTTCCATTAGACTTTTTCTGATGCGCAAATTCAAATTTAGAAACATGATGCTCCATGAAAACACAGCGATGGCGAAAAACACAGGGCGGAAGTGGTGGGCGGGCTTTGATGATAAAGAGATTAAGCCTGCAGCTTTTAGTGTAAAGTTCTCATCCACGAGTACAACTTTACAGAGTCTCCGTGTCATTAAATAGGAGTATCTGCTCATGAGCTGCGCCATGAATTTATTATATTATTAACCGATACGTTACACGTTCGCAGAACTTGTATCCAGTGACGGTAGGGCTGGGCTTTGGACGATTTCGATTTTAAATTGATTTTAATTAAAGTCACTGAAGACAGACTTTGCCCTTAAACATATGTTTTGACCTTTCCGCTCAATATTCAAGTTTAAAATATCTTTTAATTTGTTTCCCCCAATACGTATTATATAAGTCTTGTAGAGACTGTGCTGAAATTGCAAGTATCATTCATGTGCTGCTGGAACTCTCACAATATCCTTCATTCGATTTCACGATTTTCATATTTTTCAAAAATTCAATTTTTTCAAAAGCCAATTAATTGCCTAAATTCGATTTATTGCCCAGCCCTAAGTGGCGGTAAAATGTCAACTCAGGGTGAAGACATATATTCACAAGCACAACGTCCCCCATTTTCAGTCCTGGTGTAATCCTGGTTTAGCTACTGTTTCGATTGTTTTTGAGTGACTTAGTCCTCCTGTTTTGATTGGCTTGTTTCCCCGTGACCAGTTTCTAGCTCCCTGATTGGTTGCCGCACATGCGTGGAGCGGTACCCAACGCCTCTCCCACGCCGGACAAAAGTGCCGCAACATACTTGCAAATATTTGCACCGAGTTACGTCACGATTGACTTTGCATGGAAACTTGCCAACAACGTGATCCGGTGCGAATGCAGCTTAAGGACAGTGATGATTTGGGACATTTATGGCCATTCATGGACAGTGATAATCCTGCTCCCTATGGACCAATGGCTCCATGTGTTTCCTGTATGTGTTCTTGTATTTCCTGTGTTCAAACTGTGCTATGATCAAAGGAATCTATAACTTTGTAAATTCCTCCAGAACGACAGCTGCTGTGATTTAGGAAAGTACAAAGTAAAGCTAAATCATCATTTAATCATGTATAATGGGGCTGAGGAAAATACATATACAGCTTGGCCTGAACGAGAAGGCTTAAGTTGATATGTCAACGCCATGTTTAATATTACATTTTGGCATTCCATATCCATGGCAACACAGAATTTCCTTTTAAGACGAGGTAATGTTCTATTTTGTAAATTGGCATTCCATTTCCATGGCAACACAATATGACACAAAGGGGCTCTAGAACTTTTAAAAGCCTTCAAGCCTGGGACATCTGAAGTAATTTGATAACCACATTTCAGCCTTGAAATACAAGAAGCAATATCAGAGCAGATGATCAAAATGCACAAAAACTGGTACGAATACACACCGGAGGACAACGAAGCATTTTACACTGAGGAATTCAACCTCATGGAAGTGCTGGGTGAAAAGCCTGAAGCGGTCCATCCCTCTGAACCAGCAGAAGAGGAGAAAGGACTCTCTGAACCAGTTGTGAAACTGGTCAAAGGCTTTTTAACTGCTGGAGAGCTGGAGACAGGGAGCTTTCAGCAGTTGGACACCACTGGAAAGTCCATGGGTGAAATTGACCGACTCAGACTACAAGTGGTCAATGAACGTCGGCTGAGGAGAAAGTCAGAGGACGAGATGGGCATGACCCTTGTGAAGCTGAAGCTGGACATGGCGGCCAAAGCTTCACAGGCCAAAACTAGAGAGGCCAATCTGCAGGAAGAGGTGGAACAGCTGAAGAGGAAATGTCCTAAAGACAACACAATTCATGCTCTCCAAGTTGCGCATGAAATGAGCGTCCAAAAGCTTAAGAAAGAGCTCGAGGACGTGAAGTTGAATTTGCTCAACAAAACAAAGCGGATCATCTGTGCACATGAGATCCAACTCAACCAAAAAGCCAAAGCAAAGCAGGACGTGGAGGCTGAACTGAGCCAAGTGAGAGAAAAGAACAGCTCACTGCTCAATGAGTCTGGGGAACTGAAAGCACAGATTCAGTCAAGGAACGTCGACATAGATAGTTTGAAAAGCCAGGTCACTGAACTAAAAGCCATGACTGAGACAATGAAAGACAACTCTCTGCGAAAACACAGAGAATGGAATCTTGAAAGACAGTTTCTCTGCCAACAAACAGAGGAAGCCAAGTCACAACTGCTAAAGGCAGAAACAGAAAGCAAACTGCTGCTTGAGACGAACGGTCAGCTGGAAGCTTCTTTAGGAAATCTGAAAAAAGAACTGGAGGAGCTTTCAAAGGGATGTGGCAAACTGGACGGGCGACTGCAAAAAGAGACTGAAGAGAAGATCCTGATGCGTCAAGAAATCCAGGATAAAGGCATGGAGATGGACGTGATGAAAGACGTGATCAACAAGTCCAGGGACCAGAAGATCAATCTGAAGCTGCAGGTTCAGGAGGTTCAGGGCCGACTCCGAACAGAAGAAGAGGCCAATCGATTCTTGAACGAGTCACTGAACGAACTGAAGGAGGAGCTGGAGCGAGAGAAGCTGGAGAAGGCCGCCATTTTGAGAAACTGTGAGGATCTCAAAGAGGGACAGAGCACAGTACAGCAAGAGTGTTCTCTGCTGGAGGCCAAGGTTAGTACTCTGTCCCAAAAACTAAACAAAACTGAAGAAGAGCGCTCCCTGCTGGAGGCTAAGTCCAGTGCCTTGGAACAAAAACTAAACAAAACGGAAGAAGAGCGCTACCTGCTGGAGGCCAAGTCCATTGCATTGACTCAAAACCTAAAGGAGACGGAAGAAGAGCGCACTCTGCTGGAGGCTAAGTCCAGTGCGTTGGAACAAAAACTGATAAAAACAGAAGAGGACTGCTCTCTGCTGGAGGCCAAGTCCAGTGCGTTTGAACAAAAACTAAACAAAACGGAAGAAGAGCGCTCCCTGCTGGGGGCTAAGTCCAGTGCGTTGGAGAAAAAGCTGATAAAATCAGAAGAGAACTGCTCTCTGCTGGAGGCTAAGTCCACTGCATTGACTCAAAAACTAAAGGAGACGGAAGAAGAGCGCTCCCTGCTGGAGGAGAGGTGGTTGGCTACGGAGCTGAAGCTGGAGAAGAAGCGTCAAAAGTGGTACAGGAAACTCCTGCGCTGCTAATTCCCCTAAACCTACATTGGGGGACTGTATAAATCTCAGCATGAATAAATAAATATTCACAAAAGGTTTTTGGCGGACCTGTCTACATTTTCCATTTTATTTTCCCATGTACTAAACCTAGAATTATGTCCTCATAAACAAATACAGACATCCACACTTTTTATATCTCAGTTGTGATTGAGATCAGATTAGCATACTCTGTTTCTTGGAATATAAACAAAATATCATAGCATGGATGAATCTAATGACAACAATTTTCAATAATAGACAACCTAGCATATTCAAAGGAAAGGCTCAGTAAAAATGCTACTTAAAGAAGACATAACATGCTTCTGTCTGCAGTATATGAAAATGTATGACAGCTGTGAGTGGTCATTTCAGATGTAGTACATACTGAATACAAGTCTGTAAATTTCTGCATTCAGCCTGTCCTATCACCCTGCACCCTTATGTGATGTTAACCAAAGTAACTTTATTCCCACTTAAACGTTACTTCCTGTTTGGAGATGGGCTACAGATGTAACAGAGGTACACCATAGCAAAGCAGGCCAAAGCTAGTCTCCCACACAAGAGTTTATCTTGTTGAATTTATGTTTAAATGTTGACTGTATGTAAAAACAACTATAAGTATTAACAAGGAAAGTCCTCACTTGTATTAATATGTAACCCATCACGCACACTTTAATCTAATATTTCATTGAAGGGAAAGAGTTAGGGTAAAATACAGTGGATTTTTTTACATGCTCAACAATTAATGTTAAATTAAATTTGATTTTGTACAGCTCTGAATCAAAACAGCAGTCGTCTTGGATATATATGCACAATTATTTCACAAACTACAAAGACAACACTATTAATGATTTGCATTCTACAAATCATTAAGAAGTTTTGTAGAATGCATTACAAGTCTCTAACCTTGTCTATGCTAAAAAGGAGCCATTTATTTATTTAGTCTTTATTTGAAGGGACAATGTACAGAGACATTACGCTCAAAGACAGATGTTTTGCACCAGATTATAGCTAAACAGCTAGTTTCCATCTGCAGTCCCTGGTTACATTGATTTGGTAAACTGATGTATGTCCCGAAAAGAGTATTTTTGCCACTAGTCACTATTCTTTACAAACCAGTTCTCTCTACACAAAGCAGTGATGGAGAGTGGCCTATCTTCAGAGCCTCCTCAGAGATTTAACCTATGTCTTGGCACTGGTGTGCAGAGACAGGCTGCCCCACATGACCTACATGCTGAACTCAGGCCAGATTAGAGCACAGTGTTTAGGTCTTTTAGGGCAGCGAGATATCATTGTTTCAATAAAACAACAGACAAATCCAAAGACAAAGCAGACAAAGATTTCCAAGAAAAAGAGCAGCTACAAAAAGCCGATGATCTTTCCCAAAATTACTATAAAGATATTATAGTAACATAACATGTCAGGACTTTGAGATTAGGATTAAGATTAAGATTAGGACAGATGTGGTTCAACAGGCAGCATTGTAGTCTATTCGTTTACGCCTGCTGGAGCTGTGCAAGTACAAAACATCACGAGAAATGTCTCTACCAGAATCTCTGGAACTGGTGAATAATTCAATGATAAATGGGTGCATTTTTTAAGAAGCTATAGATCTAATTGAATATCTACAATGAATAAACGTAATTTATATATTACCAGTAACTACAAGAGACACATAATAAGGCATGGTAAATCAGAATATTAGCACATTTTTATGATTGACTAAATAGATTGATTCAATTTGAAATAAAAGTGAAAAAAACAGTATTAGGGATTTATTTGAAACAATTTTATTCAATACATATTATGTTTTACTTGTCTTTGGAACGGGACCAATGATTGAAAATAGATGATGCTAAAAATATTGATATATTTTTCACAATCATGCAACAAATTGTTTTAACGGACGCATTATGAATTTTAACATTACATTGTGGGGAAAACTGATAGTGACTGTTCATGAATAGCTCCAGTCTTGTAAATATCTACTTTTATTTAAATAACTGGACTTGGGATGCGTTGTTTTTCTACTGGACACAAACACAAACAGGAGAAACTTGGCCAACATGTCCGCCAGCAGATTTACTGTCATCAAAGCAAAACCTATACAAAATATTATCAGATGAGTGAGATTTCCAATGTGGAATGAAATAATTTGTGTTCGTTGATTGATAATTCACCAATCACAGATTAACACTACAATTAACACCTTTGAGCAACAAAGAGGTGTCATGTTGCAACGTCTCACTTCAAAGCTATATCAGAAAAATATTCTTATATTTTTTCCCAATATGGTTTGTGTAATGTTTGTGAAATGCTTCAAGTTTCAAGTCTGATCTATGGACAAATACTCATAAAAAGTGATCTTATCTTGTACTTGGGGTATCTAATATTTTTGCTTCATAATTACCATACTTAAATTTCTTCTCAAGTCGTTCTTAAGTTGATTTCTAGGAACACCCTACGTCGGATTCATCAACGCGCTCGTACGCCGCTGGATTGTTCGCAGCTGATCTCTTAGATTGATGAATGCCAACTCCTCGTAAGTAGAGCGCGCGTGCCATGTGAGTCATTAGCATATGTACTCAGCATAGGTAACCGCCCGTTAACGCCCATAAAAGGGAGTGCAGGGCCGTGTGCAGACGCCAGAGGAAACAGCAACATTAAAGTAGCAGTATGTAATATTTGCATGTCAAGTCATCATATTTCAAAAGGCGTTATTAAATCATGCTCTTTTGGAATACATCTTTAACTGATAACAGTAGTTCAGCCGAGATATTGGAAAAGTTGCTATTGTTTTGATTTTGATGTCCTACCCTCCGCCGTTTTGCCAATCAGGAAGTGTCATGTAAGACCGTGATCGTGTTGCCAGAACTCCGCGCGGCTCACTAATCTCAGTGGTAAAATAACATGTGGCCGCAGAACTAAAAAAGGTGTTGTTATGACTCTCAAATAATGAATGACAAAACAAAGACTAAAACGAGGATTTACTGTATATTGGGACGCCTTTGAACAATTGAGACAGCTGATAAGTTTACGTGTGATGCAAAATTTGCTGCTTTGACTCCGTTCTTCAGAGCAATTCTTGGTGGTCTAGTGGTTAAAACTGTGCGCTCACGATGCAGTTACCCGGGTTCGATTCCGGGTGGAGTCTTTTTGTATTTAATTGCATGTTATCACATTCTATGACAGATTGCTCTAAAAACGGTTAAAAGACGAAGGTCAAGACGTTTTTTTGCAGATTATAGCTTAATTGTAAAAAGAATCATTTAAGACCACATGTACCCCAATTAAAATAATGTTAGTCTCTTTTTGATGTGGGACTTTTACATGTTTGTCTAAAAAATAGGGAATAAATAAAATTGAAAGGTGATATCCTCTTGAGCACACCCTGATGTTGATACGCTGAAGAAATACGTTCCAACATCCATTCTTCCCACTCCTATTTTGGACATAAATTGCTTATGTATTTTGGATAATTTTGTGTTTTTTAACTCAAATGTCCATATAAAATAAAAAAATTCAACATTCATTCAACATTAGCACGGCTCATGGCAATGTGAATGGAGACAGACAAACAACTGATAAAATGATTCCCTGTGTTTGCTGCTGGATTTGGTGTGTATCTGGCAACCTGAGTCAGGGAGAGTGCGAGAGGACTACAAAATATTGACTGTGACTGCAGTACCACTTTTGGCCAGATTTTTCCATATTGTTCCTTTAAGCAAAGAGTTAAGGAGCAAAAGAGTCACCCTTTTTTTCCTATTTTGCCAGACTGCGAATAAAGTCATAAAATGTTGACTTTAGAGTTTAAAATATTATGAGTATAAAGTCGAACAAGCAAAATCATCAGATTGATCTAAACATATTATGAGCTTATTCTCAAAAAGTTATGAAATTAATAAAAATATATATTATGTATTAATTTTAAAATGAATCTCAAAATGTTATGAGATTATTATTCTCAGAATATTTTGGACCCTGGGAGGAGATCCAGCGTGGACCATAGCGCTGAGAACAATGTAGACCCGAGGAGAGACTGGAGAGACCAGCACACAGAAACCAGCGCAAACCGAAGAGAGACCGCATAGACCATAGACTGGAGAGACCAGCGCGGTCCTGTAATAGATCCATGGGAGAGACCAGCGCGGAGACTCATAGCGCGGACCCCGCAACCTCCTCCAGCAGCAGTATATATGCCATTGTTCTGTGGCCCGTGGATGGAGAAATGTCCCCTCTAAATAGGATGGGGTCAATAATACACGGCATGATTTCCAATGTATTTGATAAAGCGTTGGCACATTTAGTTTAAAAATGAATTTTAAAAAATGACTAAATTACCATGAATAAATACATACATCAATATGACAAACATATCACTGTAATGTTGTGTTTTATTGAACTTCACAAAAGAAGACAACACCAGCGTGAGAACATGTCGGCACTGAATCTGCGTACGAGTGCTACTGAGCACTCGAAGGATTTGTACGTACCCAAGAGAAATTCTGGTTACGAGAAAATTTTGTGAATGACACAATCTTCGTTAAAAAAAATCCTCGTAAGTAGGATTTACGCACAAATTTGTTCTTGAGAACTGTTCGTGAATGAGGCCCATTGTCGGGATGAGGGTGGTCTTCTCTTTTAACTTTTCTGTCTGAAAAAGCTGATCTAAAGGGTTTTAAAGGGTTTTAAAATGTTGAAAACCAGGAACTAGTTATTTGTAATTTAGAACATGGATTCATTTTTGTGGTACCCCAGCTTTAAATCAGTATTGAGCAGTTTCTTCACACTGCAAAAAAGTAAACGATTGCATGACTTAGGGAAAGTCTACCTTGTATTTGTCTTCCAAGACAAATAAGCAGCTTTGGTGTTATTTAGAACGCAAATGATTGTTCCAATGGCCAATCTACTTTACTCAAGATAAAGAATCTAGCTATAGCAACTTATATTTCATATTTTTTGTAGTATAAAGAAATGCTGCAAAAGATGTG